AAAAAAAAAAAAAAAAAAAAAAAAAAAAAAAAAAAAGAAAAAGGTTCCTAGTGAACAAGTGAACAGAAAGGGCTTTGACAGTTTACTTAAAAAGCCGGATTAAAGCAAAACGATGTTATATAAATACCAGCGGGCATGCTGGAGCTTGCATCACTCCATCTCCATCCCGTGTGCTGTGACAGCCAGAGCCAGGGCTGGGTTTGTTACCTGCTGCTGCCTGTGCCATGGCCCCGCGGGCAAAGCCACCTGCAGGGAAGGGAGCCGTGCAGTCCCTGCGCCCGCGGCTATGGGCACTGCGGGGAAGCACCATTGCCTCATGATGGAGCAAGACAGCAACCCCGGGGGATGAGACTCCTCTCCTTCCCAAGGCCATGAAGCTCCATGTGCAGAGCCTGCCGGGACAAACACCCTCTCACTGACAGCTGTGTGGGACTGGCATGGAGGAGCTGCAGCCACGCGGGTGACCAGAGGTCACCATCTCTGGAAAACACCAAAATCTCTGATGCATGTTGTACCCCCTGGATGACTTGAAGTCAGTGTTTCTGAGGACTCTTACTGCAAAAATTTCCTGTTTTCCAGGAAATTGCTCAACCACTTGTCCCCTCGTAAGAGACATGGAGCCCAGGGTGCCTTTAGCAGCACAGCAAAGAGAAGCGTGTAGGGGCTGAGAAAGATACAGGGAGCTCAGCCTTGCCTTGGGTGGGAGCAGGCTGGCCCCTGTCCTTTTCTGTCAACAGCTGCAGCTGCTGGGGACATCTGTGAGTCACAGAAACTCCTGGCACTCTTCACAACAGAGAACCAGAGTATGGGAGTAGATAAACATGTATATATACCTATACACCTGCAGGGAACCTTATTTCGCAGACCTTATTTCATGGAGAGAAGCCATCAATTTTAGTGCATTTTTATTGTGACTTTTGGATCATGAGAGCCTAGGAAGTCAATGTGAGGTGGAAAGTTGTGTGCTGCCCTGTTGCCTGCAGCTTCCAGCTGTCCTCCACCCTCAGGACATGAGCGGCTCCAATGTCCCCCTCTGACCTCTCCTTGTAGGATGTTTCCCTGTATCACTTCCCACCCTTGGGCAACGGACCCTTTGCCACCAGGAAGGCAGCCACAGAGTTTCTCCTCACTCCATTCCCACTGGGATGGGGGCAGACACATTTTCAATCTCTCCCTGTAGGCCTCTTGTTTTCACCCATTTGGCTCCTCTGGCCTAAGAAATTTGGGGTTTCCCCTGCTGCTCCTGCCTCCATCCTTCCCTGCTGGTAGAATGCACAGAGAAAAAGCAACCAGGCATGGCTCTGCACAGCAGCCGCCTCCAAATGGGTTTAAGGGGACAAGTGTTGCTGAAGTTACAGAGCTGCTGAGGCAGAGAAGCAACAAAGCTCACAAAGGTACCCCACATCTTGAAAAGAGCAGAAGGACATGGCAGAACACCACCCCTATGTGGTGATGGACAGTGTCCTGATTTAGACAGGGACAGAGTTAATTTTCTTCCTAGCAGCCAGTGCAGTGCTGTGTGTTGCATTTAGTATGAGAATAATGCTGATAACATACCAATGCCCTACTTCTTTCTAAGCAGTACTCACTTTAGATCAAGGACTTTTCAGTTCCCTATGCTCTGCCAGTGAGGAGCTACACAAGAAGCTGGGAAGAAGCATGGCCAGTAGAACTGATCCAAACTGGCGAAAGGGATATTCCATGTCATAGGACATCATCCCCAGTATATAAACTGGTGGTTACCTGGAAGGAGCCAACCACTGCTCAGGGACAGGCTGGGCATCAATCAGCCAAATGGCGAGAAATTATATTGTGCATCACTTGTTTCTCTTGTGTTTTCTTTCTTTTTGTAGTTTCCCTTTTCATTATGAGTATTTTTATGTTATTCTTATATTTTACTTTATTTAAATTATTAAATTGTTCCTGTCTCAACCTTTGGTTTTGCCTTTTTTCCCCTGATTCTCCTCCCCATCCAACCAGGAGAGGTGTGAGTAAGCAGCTGCCTGGTACTTAGTTGTCAGCTGGGGTTAAACCATAGCTTGAGCCTGGGTGTGTTGCAGGGGCAGGTAAGGAGGACAAGAGACTGTGTAACAGGTGATCTAGTCTGGTTTTGGTTTGGAAATCAAGCCTATGGTAGTTTTATCTTATCTTTTTATTGACTAGACTATTGCAGCTGCTGTTATTCTTTAACTTGCAGGAAACTCACAGCAAACACTTGGCACCATTTAAGCAGTAGTTTTGAACAACACTGAGCTTAACATTGCTGCTAACAGCCTTGCAGGGCTGGAGAATTTAACTGCTGATTCTGTTTGAATCCTGTAATTACATGGATGAGAAAAATGAGGTGTGTGGGGGGAAGCTCAAAGTGATTAACACTTTGGGCCAACAGCCTGGATGGGCTGGTGAAAGGCCCTGCCTAAGGCAGCATCAGTGGGGGCCACTTCCCTGTTGACATGGAGCTGGTCTTTGTTTTCTTCTTTACACAGGAGGAATCATATTTGTTGATAAAGCAAAGGATTTACTGGCCAGGCTGCCAAGGTCAGACCTCACTGGAAACAAACTGGCCCAAACTATCCCCTTCAGATGACCACAAATACACAGCCCACTGTGCGCTGCAAGCCGAGCAACCTGAGTTTTCCATCCTCTACCAGCCCTTGAAGCTGGTCTTGGCATAGCACCTCTAGCAGAGAAGACAGCAAAGCTCTCCCTCCCTCCTTGCAGCTATTCACTATGAGCCAGAACAGCTGGAGATTAACTTGGAGTTCAGCAGACAGGCACAAACATCTTGGGGAAAGGAGCAGCCCTGTGTTAGGGCTTGATACAAGTGTAAAGCCAACAGAAATGAAGGGAAAACCTCCACTTGCCTGGAATCAGGCACCTTGGACAAGACTGTGAGGACAGAGGCACTGTGCCTGACCCTTGGGGGAACCTTGGCATTGGCTTCAAAACATGCATGGGGAAGAGACATGGGCTTAGCTGAGTGTTGCTCCCCTTGGGAAGGCACTGACTGCCACGTCCTCTTAAAATAGAAACAAGGAACATTAAGAGCTGAGAAAGCTACTGTTAAATAGACAGGCTTGGGTAGGAGAGAGCAAATGCTTGACAGATCAGAGGAGGATTCAATGTGCTTAACTCCAAAAGGGAAAACAAACTTTATCCTCACTGGAGAAACATTCTCCCAGCTGACATGGAAAAAACAACTACTGCTGAGGAATTACCCATTGCTTCAGATCCTTTCAACTGGGAAAGACCAACATCACATTCAGGTGGCATGAAAATTGCTGTGCAACCCCTCTTTAACCACTACATAAATACACTGCTGGCCCTGCTTCCTGCTTGCACCTCCTGTTATTAACACCGCTGTGGGAATCCCTGAAGCCTTCCCCAGCAGTTGGCAAACAGGGAGCTGAATTAAAAACCTGGCAAAGAAAATATCCTTTTGCTCTGAGTCCTGTCCTGTGGTGAAAACCTTGCAGGCTGCTTGAGGAATCTCAAGCTGTCCCCAAACCCCTCCTCTTACTGTCCACCTGTCACACTGTTCTGAAGGATTCACACAAGGCACCAAGTACATGGGTCTTCAGCATTTATCTCAAAGAAACAGTTGTGGCTTTCATATACTGCACCCTAAAGTGTGCTGGCACTTTAACAGCTGAGTGACACTTTAGCTCTGCTTTTCCTTAGAAGGAAGCAATAAAACAAGTATTTTATACTGCTCCTTAATTACACAATGCAAAGTCACTGTGTTTTTTCCTGTTCTGTAGGATGGTAAGGCAAGAAAGTTGATTATTGTTGGGTATGTGACGCTGTTCCCCTACTTTTCCTGCTTGTGCAGGAAAATGGAGAGTCTTTACTAGAAGTGTTTACTGAGCAGGAACATTGAAACTGCAGGGGAAATTGCCCAGCCTGAAACCTGAGGAGGTCAGGAGCAGCACAGCCTCTGTGATCTCTGGAATAAAATGAGATGCCAGTTTTTATTGATTGTAACTGACCAACAGTTCTTTACCAGATTACATTCAAGTGACATCACCTCTAGCAGCGTGCCAGCGGTGAGATCAGCCCAGCCTGAAAGGGAGGCACCCACCTCAAGAGACCAGTACCACCTTGTGCTGTGGCCCTGGCTCCAGGGGGACAGAAGCAGGTGGGAGCAGTGATGCCAGCCAGCAGCACTGCAGTTGCAGCAGGACTTGGATCACCACTCCCCTGATTCCTTCAAAGGTCATAAATTGTTACTGCAGAGATGCAGAAAAAAAATTACCTGGCTGCTCACATACCAGGGAGGTGAAATGGAGCAATGCCAAAGCAGATTTAAGACTGACTGAACGAAACAGAAGCTGTGGAAAAAAAAAAAAATTAGCAGCTTGTACATAGTTATTAAGCATTTACAGTGTTCTCATGCAGCTTAGATAAGCAAGCTGGAATTAAACAGAACAGTAGTCATCAGTAGTGCTGGTGCTGTACTCTGCCTGCAAGCTCAGGAGGAGGCTGGGAGCACTCAGAAGCCAGGTTGACAGGAAACAGGTGTATGTGAGGAGGAGGAGGAAGAGGTTAGAAGGGCTGAAGGCTGCTCAGACAGAAGCCCACAGCCGGTACCCTTAGTCCAAAGGTCAGGGCAATTGAAGTCAAAAGGCTGCCTTCTGGCAGGGCTCACCCATGTGACCACATTTAATTATTCACAACAGGGAGAGGGAGACACTCAGGCTCCACAGACAGGGGAGGGGTGAGAAAAGCACAGGGGGAGTGAGCACAGCTCAGGATCCTTGTGTGCAGTGAGCCGCTGTTCATCTGTGCATGAGAGGTGAGTCTTCCCTCTGGCCCCCTGGAACCAGCAGCGCACAAAGGGGGTCCTACAGGCAGCACTGAAAGCCCCATGGAAGGAATCCCCTCTTTTGTTTTCAGCACATTACCTTTTAGTAGGGATCAAGTCATAACCTGCACTTCCCCGACCCATCATTAGAAACTGTGCTGCTGATACTCCCAACTCACCTCTCTGGAAAGACAGATTTGTGAAAATCAAGTTTTATTCTCCTGGATAGACAGCAGTGACTGATAAAAGTTCTCTACTGCTGCAGACATACAAAAGGAGATCTATAAAATACTTCTCCCTATTTTCTCTTATTAAATTATGATAGGAGCCCATGGATTTGTGGAGGAGTTGTACCTGTCCCATCAACACAAGGACAGAGGAAGAAACAGACAGGTTTCACAGACAAGACAGAGGCATTCTCAGCTTTAAACGAACCCACCCAGGGCAGGTATGTACCATCCTCTGTAAGGAGCAGCTGTCCTCTGCTCTGGGCTATCAGATGTGAGGCAAAGACAAAAACATTCCTCCTGTTAGCAGCAGCAGCTCTGCACGTCAGCTCTTGGCTGATAAACACAGGCTCCTAATTCCAGCCACATTCCCCGTTTTGAGAATAAGCAGCCCTGCTCCTCAGCGCCCTTTGCAACTACTGCTGCTCATGAGAAGGGGGAGAAGGAGGGAAGGGTTACAACATTTTCCATCTCCTAAAAACACCAAAACAGAAGAAACCCCCGGGTTGTACAGGGCAGGCAATTGACTTGCCCTCAGCTCTCCCAGGCAAGGAATGCACAACATGGACGTGTCCAGAGGCAGAGGTACAGCCACCATTTTACTTCAGGCTCCAATGAGTTTCTTGAGGAATGCCTCCAGCTGATCCTCATCCTTTATGCCCACAAATTTATCCACGACGTCTCCGTTCTTCATAGCCAGCACAGTTGGCACTGCTGACACCTGGTTCAAGAGAAACAGGGAGACAGGTGAGCAAAGCCTGCAGGAAGCCACCTGCACCTCATCTCCCAATGGAAGTGTAAGGAAGCAGGTACAAGGGAGCTGAGCATGCACTGCTCTAGAGTAAGATGTTCACTCACAAAACAGGCCAGCTGAGCTCTGCGTTCCCCCTCTCTGCACTGACTTATACCACTCTATTTGAGATAAGGCTGAGCTGCTTTTTGAGTTTAAATAAGACCCAAATTTTGAAAGACAAAACCACAGCTAATACAAAAACCATCTCCAGTACAAATGCTTCTCCTTCCCTTTTGTCCTATCATAAATGAACACACCTAGGACACATCTCAGACATAATGACCTTCGGACATTTTATGGCCAGGGTAGCATCAGACTGGACCCGTGTTCTTCTCCAGACAGGACTGGAGCTCTGATCCTCTGATCCCGCCCCACCACTGCACAGGCAGATTTCCTGCTCATACAATGGCAATGAAAATCCCCTCCAAGCCTTCTTCCTTTCCCCACTTCTGTTTTCCTTATTTATCTGGTCACAAACCAGTGGTCATTCAGTGCAGATCCCTGATGATTAGGTAAGAAGTGAAAAGACCAGAGTTAGCAGGCAGCTGTACTGCTCTGGGCGCTGCTTTTTTAGCTCAGAACAAAGTTTGCTGGGAATGATCCAAGAGAACAGTGTTGGAAATGACAACACTCCCCAGGGACTTGCTGGTTGACTAGTGACAGCAGAAACCCCAGGGACATGACTGAAAGAAGGAACAACCAGAGCTTGGAGAGCTGCAGCAATGGAAGATCTGATCACATTTCTGACCCCGCAGCTTATCTCTGCAAAGTCTTCCCCCCAAAATACATCCTGTCCTTATCTTGCCCGCTGACTCTCCTCCAGCCTGCAGGACCTTCCCGTGTGCACTGCCAGCCCTGCTGCCAAGAAAGATCTGTAAATCCCTCTGGAAACCCATCAGAGGGCTGGCTTTTCTCCCAGTGGGAGCCTGAGATGAAAGGGACATGCTGTCTTCCCTTCCCACCCGGTCCCAGCCAGGCAGTCCAGTGTGGCTCCCCACAGTGTCCTTCAGGGCTTGTGCCGTCTCATCTGAAGGGATGGGAGCGTCGGGGCTGCTCAATGCACAATCTTCAGCTCCTCCTAGTGACTGCAGGGAGCAGATCCAGAGGGCTGGGGCCCCAGCACCGGCGATGGTGCCAATACATTCCCTTGTGATTTTAGGAGAAAAAGGATGCATTGCACTCAACTGCTCTGTGCCTGAGTAGGCAAACCTCCAGTGAGCTTCCCTCTGGTTTGCACAGTGGGTTAATATCGAGCAGAGTTGCTCCAGTCCCATCCAAAAAACCAAGAGCTGGCTGCTATTAGGGCTGGGGTGAGGAACAGGCAACTCTTGGAAGCTCTGCGGAGAAGCAGTCAACACCACGTTGCCAGGCCCTGCAGGCTGACCAGCGCATCCACGAGTTTCACCTGGCCTTGACTCCTCTGTCTCTTTCCCTCTTTGTGCAAGTGAGCAAATCCTAAGAAAGAGTGGAAGGTCTGGGGCTGGTGCTACAGAGCCAGATGAGAACTGGGAGCACTGAGCAACTTTCCTCTGCTCAGAAAACACAATGTTTTTGTCAGCTTCCTTCCTGCCAGCTGCAGCAAGGGCAGCCTGTTAATGGAGCACATACTTTGCTTTGCTGGTTGAGAAGCAAATATCATGGGAATTTCTAGAATGCAAAGTTGAGGGCACTTTTTCTTTTTTTGGGTCCCATCTGCACTGAACTTAAACAAACTTTACTCCTCCCTGAAGAGCACTTCTACAGAAAAAATCAGTCTGCTTTTGATTAGTGTTGACCACACAGATAAATAAACAAACATGGCCATCCAGGTTATTCCTGGCAACACCCATACCAAGGAATTATCTTCCATCTGAAACTTTTACACAAGCTCAGATGCCACACAACAGAGCAGGGAGAAGGATTTCACCCAGGCCTCTGAGTGAGGAGGTAACAGCATGGAGCTCCATTGATGAATGACCAGTTCTGTACCCAGCAGCTCTCCTGAGCTGCCCACCCACAGTGGCCAGAGAAGGGGCTGCTCTTTCCTGGTCACCACACACAGAGACAACTGGCTAAGGCAAGAGATGAATCTAAAGAATTTTAAGAGACTGCAGATAAACAAAAGTATTTCTTCTCCCTTTCTGCTCTTGAGGTGAGAGGTCAGGAGCTGGCTGGAGCAGTGGAGAAAGGCCACAAGCAGAGATGAAAGGTATTATATAAAACGGGGAGTCCCCAGAGAAAACACTTTTGTGCTGGGCATAACAGGACAGGGAAGGGCACGGGGGACATTCCTAGTTGCAGGAAATGCATCCGTGCTTTGTGCTAAGCTGGGATGGCTAAGAGCCAAGGGCTTGTATAAAGGAATGTGCCAGCATTCCTCAGCTCTTCCAGGGGATCTCCCCCTCCCGCTACCTCCCCCTGCACCAAGGAGGCTGCTGAAGAGGACATTGTGCAAGCAGGCAGCAAGCTGGGGGCTGCGTGTGTGCGTGGGCAGGGGAATAAACATGGATGGAGTGAGACTTCCTGGCAGCTAGTGAAGGAGTTGTGGGGGTGGCATGGACAATGAAAACCCCTAAACAAAGACTTCCTCAGCATGCAGACATCTGATCCCCTAAAGAATGGCTTTAAAACAAATGTTTTCTGATCCCCTCTAAACACCACCTGTGGTCTTCCTGATTTGTCACAAACACTCTCTTTGGTCCCTCTTCGATCTCAACTCGGTGCCTTCCCATCCGCCCTTACATTTCTCCTTACATGGCAACTTCCCAGAAGATGAAGCAAAACTAAGCACATGCTCAGCACATGAACAAAACTTCTGCCTCAGAAAGGATGCTCCAACCTACAAAGGTCTGAGCAGAAAATTCTCCTATCCCCCTACCTGTCTATGGTACTTGCAGACTAAGGACAGTGTTTTAGTCACGGAGATAACGGCCAAGACAAGACACACACGCATCACTCCAAAAGCGGAGGAGGGCCTCTTGCAAAACAAAAACTTCATCATGTTTGTACATAAGGTTCCCGAATGAACTGCCAGAAGCTGACCCTTCACTGCAGCCTCAGTCCTACCTGCACACAAACACACACAGCAGGCAGGGTCCCTCAACACCCGTGGGGAGAGGACACGCAGCAAGTCATCAAACCTGCACAACTTGGGACTTTCAGCCTCTTCTCACAGACCTTTCTCTGCATGCACACACCCTGCTTGTCATTTTCCACTCATCTGAGATTATCCTCTGCTAATCCCAGCTCATTCTATCTACTGGAAGGCTTGCAACAATACATGAGTTGAGCTAATAATCTATATTCTCTTCTCCTCAGTGTGGCTGCTACCAGGGCTTTCCCTGCATCTGTTAGGATTTACACACTTTTAGATCATCACTAAAACCACCTCATCCTCTTCAGTTCTCACCAGCACGCTCTGAGCTATGCAGCCTTTTGGGCTTGCAGCAGCCAGCCCTGCTCAGGAGCCAGCAGCCATATTCCTTGGCCTGGGGTGTATCTGCCAGCACACCTCCACCCTGGAGAGCACCAGAGGCTCTCATGCTGAGCTTGTGGGAGCTGCAAGTCATGACTGTGGCCACCAGCTGTGTGGGCATGCCACCACAGCACAGACAGAAAGGTCTCCCTGAGGAAAGAGTGGGAGGGAACAAGCTGTTTCCACTTCCATCTCCTTCTGGCTCAGCAGGGTGCAGGAATGGCATCTTCTCCATGCTCAACAAGATGACAGCTTGCTCAGGAGATGGTTCACACTTTTCAGGGCAGCTTGAGGAGCTTGCTGTGCTAGTTGTCACCCTGGGAGCAGGACTTCATCTGCAGAGGGGGAGCAGATCCATCTACATGATACCCAAGTGAAAATGCAGCATGTTTTCCCCCAGTAAAACATAACAGCAGGATGCCCCAACTCCATGGGCAGAGCAGTTGTTTGCAAGGAGAGACAACAGAGGCAAGCATGGCGCTCAGAGGGGCTTTTGTGTTTCTTAAACTACCTAACCACTGACAGAGGGGACAAATAAATGAATCATGTAAACTAAAGCCATGGCCTTCTCTAGTCATTCTGCTCCTTCCTGGGAGAAAGGCAGCACAGGGAACACACCACGCAGTAATGTCACACACTAGTGCAAGCACCAAGGTCCTTCCCTTTCAAGAGCAGGATATATGCTCCTGCTGTTTTTTTTTTTTCTGACCTGGCTTCTACTTGTCCAAACAAAACTCACTGTGTCTCCTTGTGCTGCACCTTAAGGATGGGGACATTATGACCCAGCTTCCCTTCCTGAACAAGGAAGGGAAATAGAGGACAGGTTGGTTGCACAAAGAGCCACATTCAGGAGCATGGCAGAGTGGGGCTTGTAACTTCACGATCCTGCACCTGAGCAGCCCCAGCTGGCAGCAAAATGCCATGTGTATTCCAGGCTCCTCGAGGCCAGGGAAGTCTTCACACTGACAGACACCTGCAAGGCCTAGAGACATCTCCCTGCAGAATTAGAGGTGCGGATGCTGGGCATGACCAGCAGAGCTGGAGCAGAGCCAAGCAGCAAAATCCATCTACTGACAAGTGACTCAATGGATCAGGAACCTGTAGGCTCTGGGCTTCCCCTCCCCTCCAATGCACTCCTCTGCCCAGGGAGGCACCTTTGCACTGCCAGCCAAAGAAAGTCTGTGCTCTTCCACCTCCTACCTCGTACTCGATAGCAAGGTCAGTGTGATCGTCAATGTCCACCTTGGCCATCAGCACCTTCCCCTCCTGCTTGGCTACCAGCTTCTCTAACCTGGGGCCTAGGATCTTGCAGGGACCACACCACCTGATGGAGCAGGAAAAGAGAGGGGACATTAGGAGAGGCAGGTGCAGCCATGGAAAGCATGCTGGTACAGCAGTGCCTTTACCACCACTGCTGTTTGTCCACTCAAGAGCCAGCCTGGAAATGCAATTCCTGAACCACGGCTTAGAAAAAAACACTTTTCTCACAAAGGAGCTGTTAAAGGTTAAGGAAGCTCTGCATCCAGTTTCAGACTTCAATTAATTGTCCTCCCCTCCCTGGATGATCCCAACTAATGCTCACTTTGGTTTGTCAGTTGGATAATTTAGAGCAGACTTTTTTTGGCTGTTTCGTGTTCTGTTTACCCCACAATCAGCTGTAACAGGCTCACATAACAGTAACTGGAGGACTATGAAAATATATGAAAAACCCAAAGATAATCAGTATTCTTAATAGAGCAGATAGTATCTAGGAATATTTTTACTAGCAGATGGATGACAGCACTTTTATTGATGACGATTGATGTCACATGGCTGTTATTAACACATAAAGACATTTGCTACAAAGAGCCCCAAAACCACGCAGCTTTAAGAAACATGGAATGATACACCATAACAATGGTGAGGCACAGCAAGTGCAGAGCTCTCCACTGCTGTTAACTAACTTTCATGTTTCTAAGAGGACGTTGCATCCATGAAGCCAAATACGGCAGATATCATGAGGCATCTTTTGTACGATGATGCAACACTGGGGCTGGGGTGACACCTGAGCACCTGGAAGGTGCAGCTATGCCACCCTGGGAAATGCCTTCCTGGCACTCCCGTTTGATGCTGCTGCACGGTGTAGCTGTGAGGGGAATCTTCATTTATTAAGCCTGATAGCCGGAAGCATCTTTCAACAGCAGACTCCACAGTTTGGGAAGCCCTCAGGCATCCTTCTCCATGGTGAGCCCGGAGTGCCACTACATCAGGAAAGCACTACACACCTGCACGGGTGGTGGTGCAGAGGGGTGCAAGAGCCACGAGTGGAACTTACTGCGCGTGGAAGTCCACCACAACGGGCTTGGGGCTGTTCACCACTCGGTCCTGGAAGTCGCTGCCATCCTGCACGTTGAAAGTGCTCCTACGGCCAGCAGAGGTGCCAAAGGCCCTGCCGTGGGGTGCCAGGGACCCCCGCGTGGGGAGCGACAGCAGCCGCTGGAGCGCCAGCCTCTGGGCCATCTGTGGGGAGAGTGGCTGGTGAGGAGGGTGCACCCCATGGCTGGTGCCACCGCAGCAGCGCCATGACCCGAGTCCCCTCGGCAGGACAGCCCCCGCAGGTGTCCAGGAAACAAGCTTATGGGCTATGACGTGGGACTGCTTCCCGCCCCCGTGCCCAGCCCCTGCCCGCTCTGCAGCTCCAGCCCAACGGGCACGGGGCGCCCAGCTGGACCCCGCCTCCTCCCCGTTTACAAGGAGGCAGCTCCAGGCACAGGCTCCCCGTTTCCCTCAGCCCAGCAGAGCAGAGCTGCCCCCACCGCCCGCTCCTCGCACCCACAGGGCAGAGCCAGGCCCGCTGCGACACCGCGGGGCTCCTTCAGCTCATGTCCCAACAGGTGGCACGGGGCCCCCGGCCCCAACCCTGTGGGGGAAGACAACCCCAGAAGCCGGCGCCCCGTTGCTCCCCGAGCCCGAGGGCAGGGCCGGGAGGGCCCCGCTCCCCCCGCCGGGCCCGCGGCCCGCACGCACCTTCCCGGCGCGGAGGTGACCCGCACACACCGAGCTCCCGCTCGCCTGCGCCGATTGGCCGCCGCCGCCGGAAGGCTGCGACCAACGGGCTCGCCGCCTCCCAGCCGATTGGCAGCCGCCCGAAGGGCTGGGCACCTCTCATTGGCTGCCTTGCCTGTCCTTTGGGCCGTTTCGCCCCGCCCCTGGAGGGATAGTGGGATGTGTCACGTGGGGCGAACCCTGGCTGCTGATTGGCGGCGGAGCCCTCCAGTGGGCGCAGCGGGCACAGCACGAGCTGTGGCGCGCCCTCCGCACGTGGCGCGGCCCCGGCGCCGCTCCCGGTCCCTGTCCCTGTCCCTGTTCCGGTGCCTCCGGCTGGCGGCTCTCTTCAGCGTGAGGCTAGGCAAAGGGCTGCGAGCTTCACCTGCTTTAAGCCTTCCTGGAGTGCACAGCTCTACAGTCCCCCAGACAGCAATTAACTCCGTTCCACAGCACGCCCACCGGGGCAGGGCACCGGGAACAACCTGCACCCCTACACTTAGGCTGACCACAGACCAGCGCGGCCCATGCCACCCTCTCCAGCTGCACGTGAACAGGCACTAACTGCCAGCAGCAGCATTGCTTGCATAGCCCAGCATTCTCAAAGACAGCAAGAACTCCTCTGTCACTTCCTGGATCTCTTCTGCTTCCCTGCCTCTCCAAGGAACTGGTGTTTTAGGGAAACAGCAGCTGAATTCAAAGGATTGGGAGAGTTTAGGTACATGTAGGATACAGCCCCCCTCAGTTTGGGACCAATAGTGTGCATTTTTCAAGAAGCTAGAGAGTTGGAAAATGTGTGGAGATAAAAGCCTGTTCCCTGTCACCCCTCCGCTATTTCCTAGAAATCACAGGGACATCATGAGGTCAAGTCAAAACTGCTCTTGCTTTGCAACTCCAGACCCATGGAAGGAGTCCACAGGGATGTGACAGGCAAGCGTACATGGCTGACAAGGGGAGCAGTGAAGTGCAGACAACCTGCCTGTCAGTCCCTCTAGGATCTCAAGGTGACTGGAGGGCAATAAAACAGAGAGAGAGCATTTTAGCAACATCAAACTTTCTTGATGGGACATAGTGCAAATAGGAGAAATATTGGTCATGCTTTATAAAAGACGGGCTAACCTTCCAGGCTGCTTAGTGTGGAAGAAGAAAAACATGCGGACAGCAGATCCAAACTCCAAGTCTCTGTGTCCCAGGCATTCCAAGCAAGCTACTCATCTCTCTTGGAGGAAGGAGTCCCTTGTAGTGTTCTCTGGGAAATTATAAATTATCTGACCTACACAGGAACTAAAAAAATCATCTTTCCCCACTCAAGCTATACAATTGCCCTAACTCAAATGCAGGAAAAATACCAGGAAGTTTTCCTGGAGTATCACTTCAGGATTCAATGCAGAAACAAATCTTCAAGTATACACAGCGTACGGCATCCAGGGACCAGAGAGCCACAGGCTGTGAGCAGTCACCTCTGAAGGGGGACGTGACATCTGAAGTTTCCCAGGCATTCCTGCGCTCCCTTCTGTGGCCTCTGTACGTCACTGCAGACACTGGTCAGTGAGATGAACACCAACACCATCTTCAGGCAACTCTGAACTCTGCAAGGACAACATGGGAACCTCAGCATCACTGGGTTTTGGTCCCTCAGTCCTTCAGAGTATGTTGGTCCTCTTTGTAACAGCAAGATCTGAGCAGGTCTTTGGCAACTCACGATCAGCGGGAGACATGGGAATGGAAAAGGGACACTGGGAAGGGCAGAATCCTGCTGTGGATCTCTGTTACAGTACTGTCACAAGAGCTCCTATGGATTTCAGTGCGGAGCAAGAAAGGTTAAAGCTCATCCTTGGCATTAACAAGATGCTGCAGAGGACGGACCGGTATCCCATGATCTCTCATCAACTGCTGCTGTGACCCATCGTGGCTGTCAGGGGGTCTGCCAGCCGAGAAGTCCGTGTGAGTGTAATCCTGGAGCAGCCCAGCCTGTACCGCGTGCTGCCGGAGCTCCTGGCTCCCCACCAGTCCCTGCATCCGAACGTACCCCTGCTGGCAGGAGGGAGGCAGCTTCTGATGGGTGAAGGCAAACAGGAAACAGGACTCTGCAGGGGAAAGGATCAAAAATTAGAGTCAGCAGAGATACCCTGTAGGGAAATACTTCCATAAACTATCAGGGACTTGTTCAAAACTAAAGGCAGAGAGGATGAGGGAAGATGGCTGGAGTTTCCCACCCGGTACCCTTCCCTGGGTGGCAGCACAGTAATTGACGTAATTCTGCAGAGCTCAGGAGATGCACAGGGATCCCCAGTCTGCACACTGAGAGAAAAAGGAGCTGGATTTGAGCTTGCATCCATCTGGCATCTTCTTTGTGCTATAAGACACAATCCTATGTGTCTTCCCTATGTGTGCCACATGGGCTTTCTGCAGGAGGGCCCCACACCAGTCTTAAGACCAAGAAGGGAAGCAGCAGAGGCTCTTCACCTCTCACATCACAGCACTCCCATTTCCCACAGGAAAGCAATCCAATCAGCAGTACATGAGATCTAGTACACAATGGCACAAAGAAATGTTCAGATAATGAAGAAGAAAGGAAAGCTGCAGCAGGATTGAACCCAACCTTATATGCCTGTCTCTAAATCCTGGCGTGCCTGGGCCAGTCTTCTAATGGTGAACAACAGCAAGGACTCTTTGGGAACATACACACAGAGCAGCACTTTGTACCATCTGGTGAGTGCACTGAGGAGGTGTGACTGACAGTGAGACAAGCAGCTCGCCACAGGGAGATCTCAGCTGTCTGCAGAAGAGATCACTCCTGTCACTTGCTCCTCACATTGCTCCTCCTCTTCCTGCCACTTCGACCCTGTGCACAAATTACCTGCAAAGAAATTGCGCAGGTCGGTGCTGAGGCAGTTCTCCAAAAACCGCCTCAGCGGCAGGATGTGAGCATTTGGGGCTGTCCAGTCTGTCAGAAAGTCCTCCACAATGTGATGGATGGCATTTGGCAGGGGCAGAGGCCAGTCTGGGGGACGGAGTCTCATCTCACGCTCTGCCAAGAGAACATTAAGGGAGTCTCTTAGAAACAAAATGGCATTAAAAAGAGCTTGGGGAGTGGAAAGCAGCTGTGACAGCTGTTTCCGCTTTTGTCCTGACCTTTTAATCCATTACTTTCATTTGCAATCCCCTCTGCTAGCTCTGTCCTCAACAGCCCTGCACAGCTGCTCTCTGTCCCTGCCTGTAGCATTCCTGTCATTTCACTCCTGTTCCCCCTGGGCAGGGACTGCCAGATGGGCTACAATGGGTTTAATGCTGCTACCCATCATGCTTATTTCTGAGAAAGCAAGCTGGACCCTGACCCTAGGTTTCTGGAGATGAAGATTTCAACACACTCATTTCCCAAGGAAGTCTACTCTAAGCCTGTTTGCTGCTGGATAGAACACTTCTCTTCAAATCCTTGCCTTTGGCTGCCTCTAGGTCTGTGTGACCTCTCAGACCAGGGCCTGCCAGAGAGCAGCTTTCTCTTGGCAGCAAGATGGCCAAACAACAACATCCTCATCTGTCAGGTTCTGCAAAATTCACACAGGGTGCCAGCCAAAGGGAAGAACTGTTCCTCTTTTTGGGCATGGGGAAATTTCCAGCACGCCTGTTTGTTCCTATTTTCAAATGTGAGGTCTCTGGTACAACCCCCCACCCCCTATATCAGTCTTATGGACGGAACTTTCTTGCCAACTCTCAGCTTCCTTTTCAGCTCATACAGTAGTGGGAGGTGTCTCACAGGAAGGGGGAATAGTGCTTTCAGGTACCACCCCCACTCTGGCTCTGATTTATCTTTATCCCTCTTTGTTTTGGTTTTGTCACATAATTAGCAGGAAAGCTTACCTGTTGGGAGGTGTTTGTAATAGTAAATAACAGGGTGTAAAAAGTTGGACTGCCAGGCATGCTGTGCCTCTCCCACAGCCCGGTTGTAGTAGAAGACATCCTTGTCAGCCCCAGAGAAATTCCTCCCATACTCCATGATGATGACAAAGAGCCCATTGCAAGCCTTTCTTCCCGTCTGCATTTCGAGCTCGGCCAGGACTCCAGTAGGGTACTCTTCCAGGTATTCAAATGCTGTGGCATTCCTGTGAATTGAAAACACACCATTGGAATTTTCCACCAGAGAAAGCCAGCTGGGATCCAACCCACTCTCAGCCAGTCACGGCTAAAGCCAAAAAGTCATCAGATAGTAATTTTGTTTGGTCATTACAAATCTGAGCTGGACTTGAAGCAGAGCTTATAAAGGCTGCAGATACTGTTACAAGACACCATTTTTTCCTGCATTATGGGATTCTCTCTACAGTTGCACTGCTCAACAATGTTTTTGCCTGGGGTCAGTAAAAGAGTACTACACCTCTGAGCCTAGAGGGAAGGTCTGGATCATTTCAGCCTTTTAAGGGGGAGAAACAGTCTGCACAATTGGGCACCAGCAGTAACTTGCAGCAGGTTTAGGGTAGCTGCCTATGTGATGGTAACATCCTTAGGCAGGAACAGCACAACTGGTGTGGTGGCAACATGGGAGGCAATGGTAAAGAAACAGAAATGAAATTATGGAGCGCAGTGCTGGGAATAATTACTCACTCACTCTCTCAGCAGTATGATGTCAGCCAGGACACTGAACATCTGGTAGAGGCCTGAGGCCTCATTCACCCTCTTGATGATGGAATTGGTCAGCTGTGTAATAGGGTAGACTGTGGATGGCCAGGGGACACCATGGTGACGGTTTTCCAATAGGCGATGGACTGCCCGAGCTAAGACACGGAGAGAAACAAAGACAGCTTATTTAACAACGCAAGCTTGTGCTGTAAGAAATCCAATCTCAGCGCTGCAGCAGGACTCAATAAACAACCTTTACAACTCCTCCGTGCTCAGGATCTCCCACCCCAATCGCTGGTAACTGCAGTGGAGATGCCCTCAGAAAGCTGATGTGATGCTAAGTGGTGGGGGAAGGAGCAGGGGGGTCCTTGGGGATATTTCATTACTTCTCAGCAGTCCTTTAATGATAAGGATGGGCACACACACATAAAGAAGGAAATTCTCTCTACTGCCCACAGCTGCTGGGTTTTAACTCTACAGCACAGACCTCTCACCCACAGCCTGTCACCAGGCAGAACGTCTGGCACGAAGAAATCCATTGTGTTACAAAAGTAACAGACAACAGCAAGAGAGACAGAAGACAAAACAAACACAGACAACTAAAACCTTCATATATGACACCAAGTCACTTCTCCTCCACTTCAGATGATGCAGCTGCAGCAGCTTGACTGTGTTTTGTCCTTTTTATTGCCAGAACAACACTAAGGGCAATCTCTTTCCAGTGGTAAGCTATGGATTGTTCCTTTGAAGGGAGGAACAACTCCCACCTCTGCCCTTTCTGTACGCCCCAGTACTCACTTGTATACCGGAATCCATGGATAAAGCCCCCAGCAGATTTCCTGAAGTCAACTGAATGGCTAGCAGTGCCAAGAACAAAGAGCCCCTGAGTACCTCTAGACTCGTAGCTGGGTTTGATTTGAGGATACTTCTTAATATTCCCTTTTCCTGGCATCATTCTCAGGGATCTGATATGCAAAAGAGAAGAGCAGGCTATCAGGAAGGACAGGAGTAGAAAGATAAAAAGGGTTTCTGACACACATTATTTTGCAGCCACTGCAAGATTCTGCTTCACACCCCTGCTGCCTTCAGTGGTGTTTACTACTAAAATGAGGATCTTCGGAGGATAAAGGTGTTCATCTCAAGATAGCCCTGACAAGATCCAATTCTCAGCTGAGCCACTAACAATGAATTTTGGAAGACAGTGAAGTTAGCAGTATAATTTTCAGCTGCAGGATGTACCAAGGTGGAATGAATGAAGGTTGCATCCTCAGGGAATTTTTTTTCCCCAGACAAAACCTCTTTGTAGCAATCTGCACCTTTATCATCTTCATTTCAGAAAAAAACCCCTCAAACATTGCTAACCTTGTCCATGTGATCTGGCAGGTCAGGATGTTAAGTTCTAAAGGTACAAGCTTTTCTGTGTCACTCAGGTCTCATTGCTCCCATCTGCACAGCCTTAAAGCCTGTTGGTCAGAGGGCAGTGACACACATTCCCTCTGGGACACAGCCTTACCTGCAGGATAAACAAAGGACTGTGCAGCACCAAGCAGCTCAGAGCACAGGGAGGACCAAACAATGCTGCCAGGAGAAAACCTGCTCTTCCCTTTCCTCCCTACACAGGCCCTTCAGCCTAAATACCTTTTTTCACGGAGATCCTGGTTCTCCCTCACCTATTATAGATAGAGAAGTCAAACTTCCAGCCCAGGCAGCGGATGACACGGTCATAAGGTGCACGGGTGGCAAAATTGTCCAGTTCATCCTGAGGGAGGGTGATGGAGTCGATGCCTGCGCTGATGTTCCTGTTCTCCAAGTAGAACCGCAGTGTGATGTGCAGCTTTCCCTTTTTGTCCTTAATGATAGCCAGATCTTCCAGGTCACCCTCCAGAAGCCCATCCAGAGATTTCAGCTGGTAGGTGTCCAGCAGGCCATTGTTAATTGCTCTATGGAAAATACAAGAATGTAAAGAAGAGATGATCTGTCTCAGCTGTTGAAAATGGAATAATTTATCAGGCATTCCAACTTCTCTTCAGTGTAAGGGTTATCCCCAGAGCCTCAGGGCTCACAGGAACAGCACAGGGAACACAGCCTCGCTGTCCTTGCAGGATGTAGCCAACCTCCTAACTTTCCTCTGTGACTGGAAGCAAGGGAATAACTTGAGAGCCAGTACATTTTAAAGATTACAGTTTCCAAGTGGACACATTTCTATTTCACACGGATCCTAAAAAGCTCTCACCAAACCTGTGTTCAGCAACTGCAATCTGGATTGCTTTTAAACCAAGGACCTATGGAAGGCCCCATATTTCCCCTGTGGTCCCCATGACGACAGCACCAGTCCAGCCTGTTGCCTGGGAAAGAGGTGATTCTCCTCGTTTATACTCCAGCTGAGTTAGAAACAGGAACAGGAGTGGCTCCTTACCTCAGATCCCCGACGTAGTGGGTGGCCCAAGAGAGGCGCACGCGGGAGCGGCTCACCATGTGGATGAAATTCGTGACACCCAGGATGTTCTCCGCCGTCTCGAAGGCCGAGTTCCCTCGGCCCAAGATCAACACGGTTTGGCCAGTGAAGTCCTCTGGGTTGACGGACACAGTCTCGTAACCCTCAACATACTCTGAGCCAGGAAAGTTTACCACATTGGGGACCCACGTCCCAGCAGCAACCAACAAACAGCTGCAAGAACAGGGATAGCACATGGAAATGAAGGAATTTCAGGAAAGGGGCCCCATCTCCTCATTCCTTCCTCCTCCCACTGTGGAAGGTGGCTGCAATGTGACCCCCACAGTGACACTGGACCAGCTGCTTAAAAGAAACACCTCTACCTAGCTTAACTAATGACCTGCTCCTCTCTTCCCTATCCTCAGGACAACTAGGAATGCTGTTATATATAGCAATATTCAGTGTGGGTGCTGTATATACGCATCTCCCTCGCCTGTTCATGAATGCAACTTCTACTCATATGAACTCACTGACAGTATCACAGGTTGATTACATGTTGCATAAAAATGACTTTGATTTAAAATTTGAGTTGACATTTGGCAGAGCAGAAGTCCTTTTTAAGACAGACAGGAAATAGTTTCGATATTTTGAGATGTAACTGCCAGTCATAAAAACACGTTAGCAACATCGCTAATTGTCAACACCAAAAATAACTACAGTGATCTTTTTATATCACTCTGTAAGAGCTTTTACTTGAATCTGGAGGAAGTTTTTGTGGCTTAGATGGAAGCACCAGGCGGCTGAGGCAAGCAGCACTGCCTGCTGTCCCAGCCTTGCTTACACAGCGTCCCGAGAGCAACTCGGTACGTGGGTGTCCGGGATTGCCTTCTGTCCCCTCGGAGCCTGCCAGCAGCACACCGGTAAGTGACAGCCAGCACGACCTGCTGTCGTAGAGCTGAGGCTCTCAGGAGAGGTGAGAAATATACTCCGTATGTTCACACCAGTAACTTCGAGGTTTTTTAGGAACGGAGCTCAGTGGCGTTACGGGATACACACACGTAAATAGGAGGAGAAGAAGGGGAATTCAGCGACCAGCAGCCCTGAAGGTTATTTCTCACAGTCTTTGCCCCTCCCACAAAAAATCCCCACTTTCCTCTGCTTTCCCCTCACCCCCCCCCCACTCCGTGTTCCAGGTCTTTGCCAATCAAGGACTTCACTTGTCTGGGACACACCCCTGAGCACATGCGGAAAAACGGGAGCAAGATGTCACTGCACTGACTCAATCCAGTTTGTAATAAAGGCAGTGCTGGCTGTGAGTACAATTGAGTTACTTTTTTCACAGACAGGAATTATCTAGTGATAAAACAAAAGTGACTTCAAACACACTTATCAAGAACAGACGCTGCAGTGACGGCCATGGCAGCCAATTTGTGTCTGCCCTCCCAACCTCCTCAGCTGCCCAAAGCAAAACACTGCCTGTGAAAGGCAATGCCTTCCCAGGAGCAGTTATTCCACCCATCCATCCGGCAATGCCTAAAAAATTTTTTCCGCCCCTGATGGTGATTAAGGCTCTAAGAGGCTGTGAAATCTCCATCCTCGGAGATACTCATGCCTGAACAGGGCAAAGCTCTGGGCTGCATGTCAAGCCCCAGGTTTGCCCATTACCTGCACTTGTAGTTCTTCCTGTCCTGGTCGGTCAGGAGAAAATAATGGCCGTTCCAGGCCTGCTCATTCTTCTCCAATGTCACGTGGATGATGGCTGTGTTGTACTGAACCCGCAGCTTCAGCAGGGAAGCAAAGTCCTCCAGGTAACGCACCATCGTGTCAGCGTTGGGGAAGAAGTCGCGAGAGTAGCGTCGGAAAAGCAGCCGCGGGTCGTGGCTGAGGAGCGAATTCCAGTCGTGGCGGAGGTTGAACTCGCTGTTGGACTTGCCCGTGTACTGCTTGTTGATGCTGATGAGTTTGCGGTGCCGAGGGTAGAGCGCGAAGAAGCTGCCGGGAGCATGGCTGCGCTCAAAGACGAGGTAGTCGCGGCCGGCTTGCTGGAGGAAATAGGCCGCCTGCAAGCCCGCGGGGCCGGCCCCGATGACGCAGTAGTCGTGGTAGAGGAACGTGGCACCACTCACCGCGCACAGGCTGCTGGCGTACAGGGCCAGCCCCAGGAGCGCCCCGCAGACCGCCGGGGCCATGGCGGGGCTGCCGCAGCCGGCCCTGAAGGGAAGAGGACCGGGAAGCGTCACCTCAGGGGCTGCAGCCTCCCACCAGTCCTCAGCCAACGCCGCCCAGAGCCGGCCACCATGACGCCCCCACACAGGGTGGGGTGTTGGGGTGGGGCCCTGCTCCCTGCCAGCCAATAGCAGCACGGGTCCCGGGCCTTCCAGCCAATGGGTGCACAGGGGCCCCCGCCGCACCACACAGGTGGCAAGGTGGGGCAGCACCTGTGGACTGCTGGTGCAGTCGCGAGCGCCTCTGCGCCCCACCAGCCAATGGGGATGGGCGGCGCAAGCCCCCCAGCCAATGGGAGATGGGGTGCCCAGCGCTACCCTCGCTCCCCCGCCAATACGGTCCCGGCCCTGATGCCCCCGCCCCCGCCAAACGACGCACGAGGCGCAGCGCACGTGACGCGCGGGGCCGCCACCACGCGCCCGGACCCGTCCCGCCCGGGGCCGCACCTGCACCATGGAGTTCCCGCCGCTCCGCTCCTCCCGCTCCGCTCCCTCCTCCTTCCCGCGCCGCCCGGGCAGGGCGGGGCGGGCACGGCGCTGCCTCCCGCCCGCTGCGGGGGCGAGCGAGGGGGGCGGCGCGCTCCCCGCGTCACGTGACGCCGCCACCGCCGCCGGCACCATGGCGGCGCGCGCACCACGTGTCCGGGGGCGGGCGGCGCTTAAAGGGGCAGCGCGGGACGGAGCCGCGACCGCGGGGGCGCCCGAAGCACGCACACACACACGAACAGCGCCCGCACTCGGCAAAATCAACTTTATTCCGCTTTCCCCCCGTTTATGATCGATGTGCAGCACAGCCGGGGCAAAGGTACAGCCACAGCCCAGCCCCGGGACCGGAGCTGCCCGGGCACTGCAGCCCCTCGGTGCTGGTTGCGGGGTTCAGCTCTCTTCCTCTGAAAAAGAAGAGAAACAGAAATTAAGTGAACGCAGCTGGGAGAAGAAAACCCCAAAATTAAACTCTCGCTGGCAAGGAAATGCCACAAGGAACATAAGAAACCAAGGCTGCCACTTTGGGAAATTTATCCCACCTCCTACTGTCTCCTTGCCTCTGTCCAGATTCCCAACAAACCTGCCCATCAGCCAACACCACTCGTCATACACAATTTACATTCCTGAACAAATTATGCAGCAACCCAACTAACATTTCCCTTATGAAATCCAGAGCAGCCAGGCTAAGCTTACAGCCTAAAAATAACCTGGGAGATATTTTTCCTATCACAGAAGCAAGAGCTCTAGGATAAATGGTTTCCCTCTGTCAGTGGAGCACACACAGATCTCACATCAGAGATGGTTTTAGGCAGCAAAGGGAAGGCAGCACTTGTCTACTGGGCACCAGTGGGCTGATCCTCCAAAACTCACATCCAGACCAGGCAGTGACTGCTCAGCTTCAAGAGTCACTTCAGAAAAACCTCCACCACGTTCCCTCAATTGCGCTCCGTCACCATGAGTTTTAATGTCACCTTATAGTCACTGCCATTTCTAAAACTGCAGTCAAAAAATATCCCAGTACCAACAGAAACTAGCACCCACCCACTCCTGCAGACCTTGGGGCCACTGAATGAAGGGCTTCTCAGCAGGCTTCATTCTGCCTGGATTTGGGACCTTCCCCCAAACCCTGCTAAAATCAGTCCCCATCAAGTATCTGTACAGAGGCACAACATCTGCACTTCCAACTCTGCGGTGTTTTTCTTCCAGCTCCCAGTGTCACCCACACCTTTTCAACAGAGTCCCATCCTTGGGACCACACATTCTCCAGCCTTGCTCCTCTCCTGCCGTTGCTGACCTTTTAGCTCTGGTCTTCATCATACATCACCCCTTTTCATCCAGGCTAGTACATCACTTAAAACCATAAAGCACCAAGTATACTACACACCTTCCTCTTCCTCTTCTTCCTCCTCATCCTCCTCATCTTCATCAGAGCTGAAGGTGCCATCAGGCAAACTGTAGATGCGGATCACCTGCTTGTTGGGGTCCTTGAGGATGAGGTACTTCCCCTCATCCAGCTTCATGCAGATGTCAATGACGCATCGCAGGATGCCCCAGGCGTTCTCTATGCTCAGATTAATCTGGCTGGCAAATTCATTTGGCTTGAACTGCTGTGTGCCCAGGATCACGTGGCGGGCAGAATCCTTCACGTGGTAACGGGATACGTACCTAGGGGGGCAAGAAGAAACCAGAGGGGTATCAGGAGATTACGCCCAGACAGCAGAACACCAGCAAGAAAAGCAGCGTGATCGTCTTATTTTTGTTTTCTGGGCTGAAAAATCCTAATACTCCAACTAAAGCTAAGAGGATTTCCTGGCTACAAACTGTCAATCTGCAATGCACCTGGAAATCCCCAAATCGGATGGAGAGGTACAAAAGATAAAGAAGAATTAGCCCCACAGATAAAATTAAGAAATAGCACGATTAGCTGGGAGTTTGGAATGAAAAAGATGGAAAAGAATCAATTCTGTGTCTGTGGATGGAACTGAGGCTTGCAGAACCAGTAGAATTCATTTAGCAAAAGCTTCTTGTTCATTCCTACAGTACTCCACTGATTTTAAGCTGACAGTTTAAAAAACGCTGTGGCCGTATCTCCCCCCACCACCTAATTTCTCAGTAACAGGGCACTGAGGATCTCAACCAGATTCCTGCCAGTGCCCACAGTCACTGTATTTATTTCCCCTGTTGGTGACCACAGCAAAGAGGCTGAGAGCCCACACAGCCACCTGTCCCTCGTGTGTGGGGTCAGTCATAGCTGGATGCTGAGGGGAAGCAGCTTACACCAAGGCTGGGGCACTCCCCACAAGCTTTCCCTTCTCAGCCACTCAAACACTGGGTGATTTTAGGATTACTCGTTCTGTAAATGCTTCACTCAGCCACACACCAAGTTTAATAATGGAAAATGCACCTTGGAGACATTGGGTGTGAACCACCCCCCTTACCCGAGTTTAAGATACTCTGATCCAGCCAGCAGTGCACAGCATGTCCAGCGGGCCAGTTTGTAGCTGTTGTTCTTCAGCTCCGTGGCAATGACAGCCCCTCTCTGAGAGTCCAGCTTCTGGCGCCAGTCTACCCCATTGCAATACTGAGAGGAGAATCAGAACCAGGGTCAGCCTGACAAGCCAGCAGCAGCCATCTCTTCAGCCATCTTCACATAGATGGGAAACTGTCTACCCTATGGAACCACGTGAGGGAGTGTGAACTGCAGCCTGCAGAGAAAGCTCTTGCACCAGGAAGGGAGAAATGCAAACAGCTGGGATTGCTCAACATTTGTGGCATTGGTTAGAAGGGGTAGTTAGTGAGGAAAGAATTCTAAAGAGAACCGTAATAACAGACTGGCTCCTGTGCTGAACACCTAGGGAGACAAGAGGGCTCAAGCCAGCTACATCACATTTAGGGGAGAATCTCAACAGCATTGCTTGTCCACCACAGTTATACTCCTTAGTGGAATGTAACAGCCAGGGGACACCGCCAGATGTTTATCTCATCTTCCCTGCTGTACCTGGCATGTCAGGCAGCAGTGAAGCAGTTAGAGCTAGCTTGGGGATCCTGTTCTTCCTCACCCTGGAATCCCACTCGTTCAGTGTTTTGATGTTGATGAATGACACTTCTCCATTAGCTCCTGTCATTACTCCATCATGCTCACAGCGGACAATGAGATCTATATCATCTCCCAGCTTCCACCTTCGGTACCTGCCAATAAACAATCCAGCTGGTTATTTCTGACCTTTATTCAGACCTTTATATTCAGACCTTTGTTCTCTTCCAGATCCACACAAGCATTCAGCAAAATCCTTTCCTCCTCTACCTTTTCACTGTGAGGTCATCCATGAATCCCTCTCAAGTAAAGCTGCTATCAATAACACTTCCAACCTGTTTTGCCTCTGTATCACACTGACATCCTGCCCCCTTGCCAAACCTGGGCATCAGAAATATCAACTTACCTGTATGCAACAGAGGCTACTTCATTTTTATCCATGTCATCCTCCACAAAGGGGTTTGGGTTGGGAAACTTGTACTTCTCCTTTCCCTGTAGATGAAAACAGAGCATGTTAGGAGACAGCTCTCCTCTACTGAAAAAAATATTCTTTTACAGCAACAGTAGCTGATTTCCCTCATGTGGAGAAACACCAAAACATTAAGACAGCTGATGAAAGCCTCATGCCCACATTAGTCACAGCACTATAAGCAGTACTTGTACTGCCACTTAGGCTTCATTAAGTGTACTGAGAAGCCTGTCTGCATCATCAGCAGAAGTAGGATGACTTCTCTGTGAAATCAAGGTGAAAACCTTTCTACAACAAAGCCACACTGCTCACCAGAAATAATCCCACCTCTTTCAAAACTGAAAGACCACTAGTATAACAAAACTGTCAATGAAAATGCTTCTGTGTTGTATTAAAGCAGCCTTAATCAAGTCTCTTCTTGACACTCTCTGGAACACCAACCCCACTACTCATCACTGTTCCACCTTACCATCCTCAGACACTGCTGGGAGAAGTTATGATTGATGTAGGTAGCTTCCATGGCCAGGTTGCGTGGAGAATTAAAGGAGTTGCCCTCTTCCTGTGGTGGTTCATTGGCTGTTTCACTCACTGTCAGGAGGTCTGGGAAGAAAACCAGATCCTAGTGGTTATACTTGGGTGAGTAACTACATCAGCTTTAGTGAGTTTCTAGCCCCACATCAGAGCAGATCAATACTGAAGTTCCCCACACAGCTATCATATGTACTGCAGTAATAAGCTTGTTCAGGGGGCTCAGTGTGGACACCCAAATAAGCATGAAGAAAATTAGACCCTCTAGCTGCTGCAACAGAAATTCCTTCCAGGACTTTTCCTCACCAAAATCTGAGTTGTCCCTCTTGTCAAAGAAAAGCTTGGATCCAACTCTCTGGACAATGATGTCCCAGGAATAGACAGAACGAGTGCAGCTCATCAGTGTGGCCAGGATTGCATCTGTGGCAAACACATTCCCTTGTGTCTTGGCCAGCTGTGAATACAGGAGGAGGAGAAAACTGTTTCAGCATTAAGAACAGATACCCATTCCCCAGGCAGGACGAGAAGTCCTAGCAAACCAGATCACTGATTTCTTCTACAGTTCTGACTCAGAAAGCTGAACTGGTAAGTACCATGTTGACTGCCAGCAAAGTGTAAGGTACTACCCAGGAATTCTGGCCCACCCTCGCCCACACAAGGGGAAAGTAATAAACTACTACAAGATGGTAATTCTGTTGGAAAATGCAGTTTCTTACTGCAAATCTGGACACACGAGAGAAATGTCTGAGCCTTCCTCACCTCCAAAAGCAAGGCCCAAGGATCAGGTCTCTGACATAAGTTTTCTTCGGAACATAGCTCAAGTACTGGTCTGCTTGCTCTTCCAGAATTTTAACTTTTCCTTGGCCAGTGTTCCTAACTCTGCACTAATCTATCTCTGCCTTCCACCTAAGAACTGGTAGCACCAAATGCTTCTTGGTTTTGCCCTTTGGTCTGACGGTGACAGCTGTCTCCAACAACAGCACACACTGAGTTTCACAATCTGGTTTATACCTTTCGGATAACTGGGTCATCCGTAGTGGTGACGGTATGGAAGATGCGCTTAATGCTCCTCAGGAGCTTCTCGTTCCTTGTTGTAATGCGGTCAAAGGCTTTGTCATAGTACTCTAGGGCTCCACAGCACTCTCTGCAAAGATAAGAGGACCATCTGGATACCTCGCTTACAGATAACACCACCCGTGAACCACACAGGGCCTGCTGGGAGTTCCATTACCTCCCCTTGGTTTTGGTACTTCAGTGAGAACATTGGGACCAGGCAGGAGACCCCTGAGCTCCCGCTTTCCAAAAATCTGGTCACTTCAAGGAGCAAGCAGAGGGCTGTCTTAGGAACTCACATGTCCTGTGGCTCTGACACCTCCAGATAGCGCATTTTCATCAGCCGAGGGAAATCCATCTCCTCCTTCACCTCCCAATCGCTGCGAACTTCAACAGAGGAGTCACGAGGTTTCTGCTGTGCGACCAGAGGTGGGGCAGGTACAGAGAGAAATGGAGACACATCAGGATTTGTGCAAGAGGAGCTGCCCTGTGAGTGCAGCCAGAGAAACCTAACCATCAGAGGGGGCACAATGCTCATCAGTTTGTCTACCTGTGATTTCTGGTCCCACTTCTGCCTCACTCCAAACTGCTTCTGAAACTTCTTTTGTAGGCGCAAACGATCTCTAGAATGACAAATGTGAGAAAAGCCGTGATTCCTATATGCCACAACTACTCCTCCACTTCCAAACTACTAGCAGAGGAGCAGTGCTCTCAGACACCGAGCTGCTTTAACATTTGTTGAGCCATCTGTTGATCAAGACACCCGAGGCATTAAAAAGTCTGTTCTTTGCTCTGAGCAGCTCTTTATATAGTTTTACCTGAAGACTGAAATGCAGTTTTCAGAAAGGATATTTTCTCTTTAGAATGCCACCATTACTTTCTAAACACAACTAAAAAATTCTCCTAAATTATTAGGTAGCCATTTGAAATCCATGCTTTTAAGTACTACTGACACCAGAAGAACACTGGACTCAAAACATCCTGAAATTCTTTGCTGTTTGCTCCAGCAGATTCTGTTACTGTAAGTTTGCAAATTCATCAACAGTATGTTCACACACTCCAACCCGAGCTCGGTACGATCGTCTCTGCAGCCTCACCTCTCCTTCTGCTTGGCACTCTTTGGCAGCGTCTGCATGCTGAACTGCAGCATGTTCCGACGGTCCTTGTCTCTCCGAAGGTTCCTCTGCAGAAACGACGGAAAGAAAAAGGAAGACATTTCAATTGGGAAGAATCCTGCTCTCCTCTGAGCCCGTCTCCGATGACACACACCTGGGCAAACCTCATGCGGTTCCTCTGGTACGCCGTTTTCTGCGTCCGGGCCGTGTCCACCAGCTGGAAGCTGGTCTCATCCTCCTCATGGAAATAGGCGTACTGGCTTCCGCCGCCGAACTGGGACGAGTACTTGTCTGGAAACAAACAAAGCATCTCAGCACCAACGTCCTAAATAAAAACCCGGCTCCTAAGTCTGATATCTAAATTGGGATGCCTGCCTTACACCTGCATGTCTACTTCCCCTCCACACCTCCCTTATGAGCCCAGGCAGTAAGGCGGTACAAAAACCCAGAGTAAGCCCCAAGGACAGGGAGAGCCCCACAGAGCTCTCCCAAGAGCAAAGCATGCTTCCTAAAGTAAGCTGCCTGTCTTGCTGAGGTGTGCAGATAATTACAGGGTGGGTGTGAGACATGAAAGCAGGAACGACGCTTGGAAAGAAACTTTGCACAAAATCAACCCCAGGAACAGCCAGCAGACCGCACGTACTTGTGTATCTTTTATCCTGGTACGTGGCTCCTGTCCAGTCGGCCACCTAAGAACGAGCACAAACAGTCAAAAGTAAGTATTAACACAACATATGCTCCAGGTCTAATCCTTCTGACCCCCACCTCTGCCTGCCAGCCCTGCTAGGTGTTCACAGTGTGCCAGGACGCACTGCCAAGGGTGCCAGAGGAGCAGCCAGGGTAACCAAAGCGAAGAGGGGAGGCAGCGAGCCGGGGGCCCGGCAGCGCCCACCCAGAGCTCAAGGCCCAGCACGGCACAGGTACCTTGCCCAGGCGGTCTCCTTTGCTGAAGGGCTGGTACGGCATGTCCTTGAACTGCTCGGGCACAGCACACGGGCCCCAGCCGGAGGGGTTGTCCTGGATCACGGGTGCCACAAACTTCGCCATTTTTTGATTTTCTAGAGGCGAAAAAGTTAAAAAAACTCTCAAACCCTCAGCTGCCGCACGGTGCGGCACCGAGACCTGAGGCCTTACTTCGGCACAAGCCACCGCGAAAGGAACCTCCGCCAAGCAGGCCCGGGGAGGAAGGAAGGGTCCCGGTGGGCGCTGCGCGTGCCGGGGAGGGGCGGGGACGCGGCCCCACCGGAACCGGCGGGAGCGGCGGGGCGGGGCCGGGGGGTCTTGGTACACGCGGGAGGTGTCGGCGCGGCAGGCGAGCGGCTCTGGTGCGACCTCAGCGCCTCCCTCACCTGCGCGGCCCCGGCGCGGCCCCGATGGCGGCGGATCCGGCGGCGGATCCGGGAGCGGCTCCGGCGGCGGCGGGCGGGGAAAGGGCCGCGCGCAGCCCCGGCGCGCCCTTGGCGTCAGCGCCGCGCGACGGCAGCGCCCTGTCGTAAAAGCAGAACACCGCCAACCCCCCGGAAAAGCGAGCAACGAGCGCGGCAGCCGTAAAGCGGCAGCGTTGTCGCAAAATGTCAACTATTTAAAAATGTTCCTAAGGGAAGATGGTCTTTGATGTTTGATCTTTATGTGCTTTCAACTCTGATCAACAAGAAAAGAGGTTTATTCTGTGAAACAGGAGCTAGCAAACAAGCTCCGAGTGATGTTCAGGTGTTGGAAAAACAAATTATTTGACAGTGGAACTGCCTTGTTAGGGTTTAGGGATCAATGTTTTTCAGTGACCTCAGGGGAATTTAACAAAGCTTGGGAAGGTGGATGTACCACAGACAGTGGACACAAAGGATGCAGAATTTACAAGCCACAAAGACATTTGGCAGAGCCCCCAAGGTAAGGAAGAAACGAATAAAGACAGCTCAGCAAGCGTGCTGGATCAGCTGCAAGGGAGGAAAAGGTAATTCTGGCAGGGGAGATCATGGCCACTGACACGAGAAACCACCGAGTCAAAAGGAGAGAGAGACTGAGCATGCAGACTAATTAGCATGAGCAGGGAGAGGTTCGTTAACCAATAGAAGACAGAATACTAATTAAAAAGAGATTTACGTAACTTGCAGCCAAGGGTCACTAATGCCTTTGTTTGCCAAAATATATAAAGAGTGAAAAGTTTTGGTAGTTGTTGTGCTGGCTTTGTGGATTTGCCATCCAGTACCTCTTTCTATGCAGAGCTGTAAATAAATTGAATACCTGGATTATGTGTGGGGATTGGCCTCTTGCAGACTGGGTGAAAGAACCTAGTTGTTGTTTTGGACAACACTGTCATTTACTGAAATTTCATTCCTGTTTAATCGCCACTTAATAGAGAAAAAAAATGTGGAAGGAGAGTGATGTTAAGGATAGTGTAAATTTGCCCTGTTGATTAAAATGCTTGAGTTTGGCTTTGAAGTGTAAAAGCTGGGGGTGACGTGTGACAAAACCCATTCACTTTGTACCCAGATGTCACAGAGAGGAAGAAAACTTGGTTCTCTGTGTGTGCCGAAGGCTCAGCAGAGCACAGCAGCTCAGACAATGGTGAGGTCAGAAACAGCTCCAGTGCTAATGATGGCTAAACTTCCTGGAACTGTGGAACTTCTCTTGGCAGAGGTATTCAGCCCTAAGGTAGGGAAATGCCTGTTGGGAATGGTTTTGGTGTCAATGATTGCCTTTTTTTTTTTTTTTTTCCTTTAGAAAAACTTGAGTTCAACTTAATTTACAAATCATGTATTGGAAGAATATTGATCCTCAGCTTAGTCAAATACAGATTTCAGCTATTAATGTGCAGTTCCCATCTGGTAAAGTTTGCTGTACATACATGTGATGGCGTTACTGTGAGGTCTGGTTGGTAAATTCCTGTTTTCCCAGATAAAAATGGAGATAGAGGTTGAGAGATGACTTGGATAGAGAACAGACTTACAGGACTCTGGACAAGAAATATGTCAATAAAGTCACATGCTAGGACAGGAAACATGACTTAATGCTGTGCCTCTTCATTTTCTCACACACAGAGCTTCCTAAAATAAAAATGTATTCCAAACTCTGCAATGATGCTGTGGAAAACGAGGTACTTTTCAGGCTGTAGTTGTATGATCATTCAACCAACATTTTGTTTTTAGAGGGTGTTACAAAAACCACTTGACTTTGGGAGTTAAAGGTGTGTGAAGCATGGGAATTGCAGTTGCCCTTGCTGTGTTCACAGTGTGATATTTCAGCTTTCCCATTGTCCCTGATGGCTTCCCTGGACCTGCTGGAAGGCAGACCTAGGGCTGGAAGTTGGATTCAGCCCTACAGCCTCTCTAGGAGACCATGAGCCAGTGATTTAATACAGCAGTGCCTCAGGTCCCTGCCTCTGTAATTGGGTTAGTATTTCTTCTCAGGGAATGAGGGCAATAAATCATTAAATCCCAAATGTTCTCATGCCAGAGTGATTGAAATTTTCTCTACCCCTAAAAAGAGCAGGATCTGGTTTACAAATCTCTTCAGCTCACAGGCTAAAAAACTCTTTAGAGAATTTTACTGAGTATCTTTTACCTAGGAAGAGTCTAGATCAATATTTTCCAGACAGAGAGGTTGTGCATTTTGTTCTTTATTTTCCACTTGTGATTCCTCCTCGAGAAAGAACCGAAGCTGCAGCGGTCTTTGCTTTGACAAGACACCCTGCCATTAATCAGAAGTGGGATTATTAAAGTGCCTCTTCCCGCTAGCAAAAAAAAAAAAAAAAAAAAAAATCCACTTATAGAAATACAGTTTATAAAATACAATTTGTAACTGTCTCACCTAAACAGCCTTTTTGGAGACAAACATCATTAGAGCTGGAGCTGCCTCGCTCGTCGCTTGCAGTGGCTCAGTGGGATGGCAGCTCCACAGTGCCTGTCCCTTGTCCCCCCAAGCTGGACCATGGGCTTTGTGGGCTCAGAGGGACTCAGCTTAGGAGATGGTGAGGAAAAGAGGAAGAAGTTCTGAAAAGAGGAATAGACTTAGGAATGAATGAACAAATGAAGAGAAATAGACTGATAAAACAAAATGCTGTGCTTTCCACCATTTCCTCTTCATTCCTGAGCCTGCGTGAGGTGAATGCAAGAGAATGTAGTGCCAGAAATGGCAGATCATGTGCAGCTTGGTCTCAGCCCATCAAATTTCCTTTTCTGGTGACACAGTTGGATATAGGTGTGGGGTAGAGGAGATGGCATGCATAGGGAGTGGCTGGTGCGGGATAAACGCTCCCCTGGGCATGTATCTAACCTCCCATTTTCTTAGCAAGGAGAAGAAGAGTTCTATGAAAAAAAAAATCCAGTCTTAAGCAGGGGGATTTTCTGCCACATTTAGAATTATAGAGGGTTAAGGGTTGAAAGGAACCTTAAAGATCCTCTAGTCCCAACCACCCTTGCCATGGGCAGGGACACTTCCTGCTAGACCAGGTTGCCCAAGGCTTTATCCAACCTGGCCTTGAACACTGCCAGGGTTGAGGCATCCACAGCTTCCCTGGGCAACCTGTTCCAGTGTCTTGTCACCCTCACAGTAAAGAATTTCTTCCTAATATCCAGCCTAAATTTCCCTCTTTCAATTTGAAGCCATTAGTCCTTGTCCTGTCAGTACAGCTCCTGATGAAGAGTCCCTCTCTGGCTTCCTGATAGTCCCTCTTCAGATACTGGGAGGTTGCTATGAGATCTCCATGAGACCTTCTCTTCTACAGAGTGAACAGAATCAACTTTCTCTGCCTATCTCAGGTCACATTTACTAGGAGAGGGAGCAGGCCTGTCTCGCTTCCCACTTCACACCAGGCACTGCACCTCCCGTGTCCTGCTGGGCCCCCGCAGCTCCGTGTGCCTCTGGTCCTGTCGGCTGACCCCACACTCTGCTGCTGCTGCTGCTGCACAGTTCCCCTCCTGCCTCTGGTTTTCATGAAAGGCACGTGAAATACATCGCTTCCTGGAAAAGTACTCCAAATACACTTGCCTTGCAATCATTTGATCCTTGATCCATAATTTCAGTTCATCAGTTAATTAATAATTTAATCAGTTAATAAGACTAATCACTCTTCCCTGGAAGATGCTCATGAGAACAGCCAGGATAAATTGCTCCCATCTGTTTCTCTGTTCTTAGGTCTCCCACTTCTCCGGTGCTGGGCTCTGTGCTGGTGTTAGCAGGCCCATAAAGAGAGGCTCATTCCAGCACCTTAGCTGTTCCAGTCCAAAACCTTCTCTGCCATCCATCTCCTCTGCAGTTTGGGGCTCACTGGAGAGCTGTCTCCCTGTGAGCTGGTGCTGCATTGAGCAGCCTCCTCCTGCAGAGAGAGAATAATACACAGCTCAGGCTGTGTTACCAGGGGCTGCCAGGTTTGAGTGAAGGAGAGCATGTCCAAGCACCCAACCTGTTAGGGACCTTTCCTAGAAAATAGATCACCTCTGCCTAGAAAAAGCTTTGGAAAGCCTTAAGACGGGTTGCTTTCCAGCTTGTATGATGGTACTTCCAATCAAAGAGGCAGCTGAGGGTTGGAAGACTAATGTTCACATTAAAACACTGTTTTCCAGTAGTTCTTTTTCTCATTCTTATAAGAAATGCATCCAAAATAGACAGTTGGGTTCCTTTTCCTCACTAAAGATCAAATACACACCGTATGCCTGTGCCATATGCTTAGTCTCCACTGCCCTGTGCTTCTTGACAAACCCAGAAACCAAGGGAAATAGTCTTCAGCCTTAACACCTTCCCACTGTGGGGAACCCTGATGTTCACACACACCTCCTCAGGTCAGATTCCTCTTCTGCAGTCATTGTCATCATCTTTAAAGCAGTAAAACTTACTGCTGGCTCCAGGGCTATTGTTGTAACCAATTTTGGCCATGAACTGGCTCATGCCCCGGAGGGATGTTCACAGGCTGGGAAGCCCTCCTTCCTTCCCTGGCCCTCATCTCTGCATCCCATCCTTTCTGTGGCACTTTTATCTTCCTCCTCAGTCTGCTGTTCTCTCAGGCCAGGTGATTTGCTGCAATGCTTGGCCTCCTTTCCAAGAGCTTCATTCCTCTTGCTGTTGTCCTGGTTGCTGAACTATAAACCTGTCCTCTCGTGTGGTGCATGCTCACCAGATTTGTCAAGAAAATTCTTGGTTGGATTTCTAGGAAAATTCTTGATTGGATTTTCAGGAACCCTGGAAAAATGGCCATAAAACAGCATTACTGTGTATGTGCAGTGAATCTGATTTTTAATTTGCTGGCTGTGCAGTCTGGTGGGGCTGGGAGCAGGTGGCACCTGGCAGATTTGCTGTGTATGTTCAGACCAGCCCTGGCTGTCCGGTAAGGTCCACACAAGGAACGTGCTGAGTCTATTGTTCTTGGTAGCCGATAGGGCTTTCACTGTGAGGCTTTTCCCCTCTTCCTCCTCCTGCTGTGCTGAGCTCTCCCTGGCTGCTGGGCTGGATTGTCTTGTCCTCACAGACAGACAGAAACTGAGCAAGGACAGACTTACCCTTCTTAAACCACACTGCTTCTGTAGGCTGGATTCAGAGCCTGACCTTGCACTGTCTGCTCCTTCCATGCTGCCAGGAAAAACCACAAAATTTGGTGTATCCAAAAATTGTCTTTCTGTGAATTAGTGCTGTCTCTTGCCTGGTTTTGACTGTTTTTGCCACCAGTGTCAGACCTCTCCCAAAGTTTCTGTGGCTTTGACCACCAGGCTCTGGACCACATGAATTGCTGAAGAGGCAGTGTGCGTGTCATGCTGCGTCCTCACCCTTGGCTGCTGAGCACTGCCCTTTCCAGAGCTGCAGAAGGAGCTCAGGGCCCGCTGCCTCCCCTCAAACTGTCAGCAAGATTGTCTCCTTTGATCTGCACTCAGTGCTGGATTTTATCCTAGCAGCCAACAGGCTAATTCCACAAGTTTATTCTACAAAGCTCAATTAGAGCAGCTGGTGCCAGCAGCGTCCCTGCTGGCTCCAAGCCCGCATCAGGAGAGGAAGGCTGGTGCAGTGGCTGGGGTATGAACTTGGGAGTCCACAGGCTCAGCTGCAAATCCCTGCTCTGTGGCTGTTTTCTAGGCCACACAAGTGAGCTTCTGCAGTGGGAGCTTGTCACCTCCATGCTCCGTGCAGGGAGGGACAACATTCCCTGCCTGACTGAAGGAGATACAAGCTATGGTGATGGGGAACCGTGTCAACAGAGGCTGCTGCTTCTGGGAAATGCTGCATAAATCCAGCCAGATCTACAGCAGGGAGGAGGATGGGGCCCTGGGTGGTGGAAGGCACACAGTGTCTTCTCACCACTGAGTTAGCAGTTTGCTTTTCACCTGCTGGAGCCCCACTCCATGCCCTGCGATTATCCAGTGCCTGAGTCGTATGCAGCATTGCCCTCAGAAGGATTTCAGTGTGAGCAGAGCTATGAGCAACATAGGTTTTCTTTAAAAGGGCCCTTGCCCAGCACAGAAACACCCAATGGTTATATCCTTCAACATCATCAGTGTTAGAGTAACTTCCATAAACATCAGGATCTTCTGGGGCTAAACATGCTGTGCAAGTGCTCTTGCCTGGCTGGTCTCTTCTCTGGAAGGCTTAATGTTTATGCCAGCCAGGAAAAGAGGTCTAAGCACAATATCAGGAGGCAAAAAAAGAGTGCAAGCAATTTCTGCTAGGAAACACAGTTGAACCCTATTTGCACAAGACCTACTTTCAAGGCAGAAAGGAGCCAAAAGCAGATGCTACCTACGTATAACATACTGTTCCCTTCCCAGGGACTGTCAGGAAGGTCCCCACAAAAGAGAAAGGCAAGCAAGGGATAAGCAAGTCCGTGGTAGCCATTCCCTTCTCTGCTCCTTGGTAAGTCAGAGACAGGGCTGGCCGACACGCTTGGCTGCGGACAAATGTGCCTCTCGGGGTACAGGGAGTGCGGAGGGTACAGGGAGTACGGAGCCTCGGGGCCATTCCTTCCTCTCCTCTTGAGCAGATTTCAGCGCCATCTGCTCTCTTCTGTCTTTGGAGGAGTCAGCCGGGTGCTTTTGTCCCTTCTGGCAAAGCTGTGCTGCTTATGTCCCCCATCGGGTGTCAGGTACCCCGAGGCAGCTGGGACGGATGCGCACTCTCAGCCTTGCTCCAGAAAGCTCCCACTGCAGCAGTCCAAGGTCTTTCTTTCTCTCCTTTTCCCTGTCTGCAGCCTGTTCCTCTGGATGATGCACTTCCTAAGGTCACAGCTGACTCCCAAGGTCAGGCCCAGGCTTTGCATTTGGCCCCTGCTGTAGGGGATGGGATGTGGTTTTGGGGGGGAACCTTCCATTCACCTCTTTCTCCCCAAAGGATCCACAAGCAGCACCAGGTACTCCAGGGAGAGCAGCAAGGGCAGAAGGAAACATGGGGCAGCCATGGGGCTCCTTGGCCTTGGAAATGCTTTGTGGAATTACTCTTTTCTCTGCATGCATGAAGTATTGTCCCACTAAACACTCCTAGATGATCCCTGGCCAGGCACCAGTCAGAGCTGCAGATTTTAGAGTAGGAGAAGTGGGGGGACTTGCTGATGATAGGCAGCTTCCTGGGCCATGCTGCCTCCAACCTCATGGTTGCCACGCCAAGCTCACAGTTTGTTATCTGCCCTCCCCTCCTAAAATAATACCTGCCCCTGTGCTGGCTGGAGCCCATCACGGGTAGGTCTAAGCTGAACCCCCATGCAAATTATGTCCTTGTGCCCACTTTGAGACGCTGTCAGGAGAGGGGGAATGAGGGAAAGCAGGTAGTGAGGAGCTCTGGAAGAGTGGCAAAGTCTGCTGGCCACCCCTGTGCACTAGGGGGACACGGGGCGAGGGTGCCAGCGCCGCATCTTCCCTGGAAGCTGCGGGGCTGCTCCAGCTCCCGCACAGTGCGGCTCTCAGGCTCCGCTGCTGTGCCGAGCTCGTCCCACGGGATGGCACTGCCTGCTCAGGAGCAGGCAGCCCGGCCGGCGCTCCTGGCAGGCATAAATGCAGCAAATTAAACGGTGCTGGCAGATTCTGATTGACAGGTCCCTAGAGAGCAAAGTCCCTTGTTTTTTCCATCCCCGAGGGGATCAGGAGCAGCAGGAGGAGCAGCAGCAGAGAAAACCCTTTCCCAAGCCCAGTGCTTTGCCCTTGTGGATCTGTTTCTGGGACTCAGCCCACAGCCGTGTATCTTGACCCCTTTGCTGAAGCCGCGGGTATGGGCCAGCCGGCTCCTCGGCTGCGGGCGTTCCGCAGTGTCAGGAGCTGACCGCTGCCCAGCGGGCCGAGGCCGCCCAGGCCCGGCCCTCATCACGTCCACGAGCCGTGGCACCCTCGTCGCTCCGAGCCCAGGGTGCAAGGCCCGGAGGTTTCAATAAAGGGCAAGCGAAATGAGGCCAGCAGGGTTTGGCGTCATTCGCGCGTTACTCCTCTCCATGGTGTAAAATTGGTACAAGTGACAACACTCTGCCAGAATGGTTCACGTCTGTGTTGGCTCTGCCAGAGCCAGGTCAAAGCTGGGATTTGCAGCCAAGAAGATGGAGGCAGTCAACCAATTTTTGCTGCTGCAGTTGTGGGAAGCAGCATGGCCCATTGGGGTGTCCTGGATCCTCTGGCAGGTCCTCAGCACCCCTCTACCAGCCAGTGGTCGATGGCTTTAGTAAGGTGTAGCCACCATGGGCGCTGGGACGTCACAGATGTCCTCCCTACCCTTGTGGGCACAGATCCCCAGCTAAAGGTCTTTTTATGACCATGTCTGGGTGGCAGGGCCTTGTTCCCTCTCTCGAAGGCAGCTTCTCATCTCCATGGGGCGTCTTGGTTGCACAGCTACTCTGGAGCTCTGTGGAGCCAGCAAACTGTGGTACAGGTATGCTCGGCTTGATCAAAAGTTCTGTAAATGCCCTGTCTGGGTGAGGAACTGCACAGCCCTGCACAGCAGCCCACATGTGCTCCAGCTCCATGCCTCAGCTTAGCGTGAGGGGTCACTTGTTCCCCACTCTTGGAGGTAAAACTGAGGCTGGTAGCATTTAATTCACATTTGCTTAATCTGCATAGGTCCTACTCAAATTTTATCCTCTGTCTGCCACTCTTCTGTACTAAAACTGTTGCCTCTGCTTTCTGTCTCTCCAGAAGGTGTCCAGAAGAGCCTGGGGAGATGAGGGAAGAAGGCCCAGCAGCTGGAAGGCACCTGGGAAGGAAATGCCAAGATGTCTGGACCCCCCTCTACCTTTGGGGGTACTTCCAGTAGATTCAGACAGCCTGTCCTTTGCCATCCTTGCTCACCTAGCAGCTTTAGTTATGTTGACTGTACCTCTGCACAGACCCTCCTCCTCCATCAGCTCTTTTTTCCAAACCTTTCTGTGTCCTTGGCCTCGGTGCTTGGCTTTTGAAAGGCGAGCTGTGTGGCTGTCTCCTTCCCCCGTGGCAGTCCTCACACACAAGCAAGACAGCAGGCTTGTGTGTCTGACGCTTGGCCTCTCTCTGTAGTCATCTGGCACTAAAAATTATCTGCAGAGAAAAATACTGGGCTCCATACCTGGGTCTTAATATCCTCCCTCACCAAACCATAATTACTAATTACCACTCCTGGGTGTTTAAACCATTTGAATGATGCAGTTAAATGCCCGACGTTAATTTAATAGCCAAGTATCTGGGTTTCCCCACATGAGGAGCTCTCAGAGCGTCTCCCACTGAAGCAAAACGCAGCCAGCTCTGGCTGTGGTCCATATGAGAGAGGCAGCAGAGGAGCAGCAAGCACATGTTGACAGCAGACCCACACACGTGAGGACCTGGGCGCTACTCAGCAGCAAGTGCTCCCTTGCCCCACACCATTCCCCAAAGGAAGCCCCCTCTCCAGCCATGCTGTGCCTCCATGGGATGGAAGACCTGGCAGCACTGCCAGTGCAGGCCAGTGTCCCTTGGGTAATGCAGGCCCTCTGGAACTCAGATCCTTTGCCAGAGCCAACCTTGCAAATTGCTCTGTCTGAGTAGGGCAGCACGCTCTCTGGCAGATGCCCTGCCTGCCTTCTACCCATCCCTGGCCAGCATTTAAGAGTGTGTTCTCAGGTTTGGAGGGGTACTGTCCAAAATCAGCCCCGTGCAGGGCCAGACACTGCATTTCTCTGGCACCTGAAAGCGGGGAATGACCATTGTCCCCAAAGAGGTCACGAGGATGGGGCATGACAGGGACCTGGCTGAAGGCATCGGGCCAGACTTTGCCTGCTCCTTCTCCACTCTGCCTGTGTTGCGAGGGGCCTGCTGTCTCTCCTTCCCCACTGCTGGGGCTTGGGACTGGGGCAGGAACTTTTCCAACCCAAATTTTTAACTGGCCTCTCAGTCATGAGTCTTCAGCTTCCCTAAGGCCTCAGAGGCTCAGTGCTGTGGAGGACAGGACCCTGGTGCCCTGGTGCTCACCCCTGGCACACTCAGGGCCTGCCAGAGCACACAGTCAGTAGTGGGAGACAAGAAGCAAGCACGTGGAATGGGGAGCACTGAGAACTAGGAGGGGAGCAGGAAAACCTATTAGGGTCTCTCACCTACCTAAGTGTTAACGTGCCTGGGAAGAGATGGGGAATGAGAGCTTCTGCCCACGCACAAGTCGTTTGCTTTCGATGCTGCCCCTCTAAGACATCACTTAATATGACATTAATTAGTTAATGTTTGCAAAGTGCTTTGAACATGAAAAGTGCTGTATAAGTGCTGAATATTAGTACTAATTATTGTGGCATGGAGGCTGGCGCAGTCTGAAGAGCGTTCCCCACACCTAATTTCAGGCCGGAGCTGCTTCGCTGCCTCATCCCATAAAAGCCAGACAGAGAAGGGGAGAAGCATCTGAACCCCATGAGGAAGTGCACCCCTCATGGAGTTGTGTGGAGGGGGTGAGCTGTGCACCCCCTTCACTCCAGGCAGGACATTGCGTGGGAAGTGTAGCCACATCTTCCCAGTTCCTCACTGGCACTGAGGAGGACAAGGGAGCACACTCTTGCCCCAAGCTCTGAAGTAGGCCAGGATTGGGAACGTCACAGGGTGGATGGAGGATATGCAGGGTGCTTCCTTCAGCTTATCCCACCTATGCCCGAGCAGGAGCACTCAGCATGGGTGGAGGCTTCAGAACCAGGCAAGGAGATGAGGAGGAGGTGAGAAGGTTTTGGGGTCTGTGCACTAGACGGGTTGGGAAGACAGGTGTCTCCTAGATGTGCATGTGGCAGGGCCAGGAGCTCCCTGGTGTCCCCCAGACAGGCTCCTGTCCTGCTTTGCTGCCTCTCCCCTCCCTGTGCCCTCCTTCTTGGAGAGGACGCTGCTGGGAGGGGTCCCTGGAGGAGGAGCAGAAATGGGTCGGCAGGTGCCCCCAATTACCTTGGCAGTGAAGCATCCTGCCAGCTGGAATGCTGGGGTGGCTGTTAGGTGCTACCAGGGGCCCAAAGAAGAGGGATGAGCTGGAGGAGGCTGTGCTAGAGGGGGTGCAGTGAGGGCCAGAGTGGGGAGCCACTGGTGCTGGCCAGGGGGTAGAGATGCTGTGCACAGGTATCAGCATGTATGAGGTGCAGGGACTGCAGTGCTGCGATTGCAGTGTGACCCAGCAGTGTCTGCTGGGACTCCTGGAGCCAGCTGTGCCTCCTTGCTGCTGCCAAATGAACTGCCCTGCTCTGACCTGCTCATTCAGCTCGAGGTCTCACTTGTCTGCTGTGGGTCACACACAGAAAAGCTTTGTCACTTAGGTGGCTGTCCTTCCACGTCATCCCTCTGAGCTAGAGGTCATGGAGTCTGATGGGGATTCTGGTCTGCTTCAGAAAGCCATGGAGGGTCTCACGGGAAGTGAGAACCCAGTGCAGGGTGAAGGGAAGCTCATTGGTGACACCCTTGCTGCCAATGGTGAGTGGGAGGTGAGGGGATGTGCCTGGTCCCCTTTGTGGGGATCTCGCCTCCCTGCTCTGCTGCCACCTTACCTGTTTCTGGGTCTGCATCTCCAGCTGTAAGTTATTCCCCCTCTCCAAGCTCCTACCTGAGCATTTCTACCAGGCACCCACTGCTAACCCAGCTACTGAGGAAATTGCCATGAATGGCTGAACAAAACCCCAAAACAATGCTGGAGTCTCTTTCTTTTTCCTTTTTGAGCCCTCCAGTGTGTATGAATTCTGACTTTGCTGGCAATTCTTGGCTTACCATGAAAGCCACTGTTTCCAGTAGGAATTGGAGCATCGGCCTTTGTGGTATCTTCACCCCAGGAAGAATGGAACAGGAGGGGAGATGCTGGAATCTAAAGAGGCTGGAGCAGGTGTTTTGGAGGGCAGCAGAGAAAGCCCACATATGTCTCGAGTTTACCCACACTTACTTAAAATAAAAAGTTGTGGCAAAACAGTCTCCTCTTGCCTCATCCATTCCTGTATCTTGAAGCAAGACCATCCTCTGAATTTCCAATGAGGACGAAATTGTCCACAGCAGTAGATTCTCTTGCTGGGTTTTGAGGTACTCTTCTGGCACTACAAATACCCCCCAATAAATCCACATAAACGAGGACCAAGTTATAAAAAAAAAATCTTTATTTCATGTACCAGGATTTTTTTTTTGTCATTTTCTCTTTTTAAAATTTTTTTCTTTTTAACAGTCTGAAAAAAACCCACAAAATAAAGAAAATGGAGGTTGGTTTCTTGTACTGGTTTGAGCTGGACATGAGCAACACCCTGGGGAAAATTCTTCCCTTCCAGCCCTTGCCTCCCGCCCACGCTCTCCCGGCGCCCTCCCGCACTCTGTCTCCCCTTCCCTCCAGGCCCCGGGGCGCGCTCAGCCCTGTGAATGCTCCCCAGCTCCGAGCAGTGTTGGGTGGGGATGGAAACCCCAACGCCACCTTCCCTCTACGCTGGAATCTGGGGAGCTGGCTTTAACTCATTCCTCGGGGGCACTGAAAAGGGGTGGATGTCCCCTGTGAAACCTTCTGAAAGGGCTGGGGGGCCACGGGCGGGGACGTCAGCAGTAGGGTGAGGGCTGAACACCCAGCCGAGGCGCTCGCATCCGCCTCTTGCCCCGTGATGCCGTTTCTGGGGGTGACCCCGTCCCTCTGCTGCCCCCCGCCCTACCCCAGAGCGGGGAAGGGGGGTGAGGTAGCAGCGGGTCGGGGGGAGCGGGGAGGATCTGGCTGCTTTAAAGCAGAACCCCCGCTGGGACCTGGAGCGGGGACTGCGCAGCTCCTAAAACTGGAGCAGCAGGAATGGGGACGGAAAAAAAGTCGAAAAGTGGGTCTGAGCTGCCGAAGGGCTCAGCGGCCCCATCCTGCGAACTCTCGGCTCTGTGCCTGCCCCGGGCGCTCCTGCTTTCGGGGGCAGCCCCGAAGGGGTCCTGTCCTCGCCCGGGGCCGGCCGGTGTCTGTGGGTGTCACAGAGGCACCCCATCACCCCTGCTGCCACCTCCCCTCCCGCCTCCATCGCCAGCGGCTCCCGTGGAGGCAGCTGCAGGATAAAGCTGGCACCCCGGTGCCCCTTCCCCGGTGCCAGCGAGGGAGGGGGCGGCAGCCAGGCCAGGGGGTCCGGGGGGCTGGGGGGACCCAGCTGGCCTGGCCTTGCTGCTGTGGAGGGGACCGCGGCAGTCGGGGGCCACCAGGAGAGGGCTGGGGAGGAGGACACAACGCGGTGGGCGTGGGGACACCCGCTAGCTTGGCGCCCTCCCCGGCAGAGCTCGGGCTCGGGGGTCGCTGCCATGGGGACTGGCGGTCAAGACCAGGCAGCTGTGGCCGGCTTTGGCTCACGGCCTGCTCGCTGTGCCCAGGCGAGGACGGCAGCGATTTCAGGGGGCAGCTGGGTGGCCTCACCGTGCCCCTGCATGGCTGCAGCCCTACTGATGTGATCTGGGCAGATTTGAGGGGTGCGTGGCCACCCTGGGGAGCCTCTGGAGCATTCACAGGGGAGCATGCGCCCGCCAGGGCAAGAGTGTGTGAGCATGGGCACACGTGTGCGTGAGTGCTGTCCCCCCCACAGCATCCCGTGTGTGTCCCCCCCACAGCATCATCACCCTGAAAGGATGGGAGCCCCAGCTGCCCTCTGCCAGCCCCCCTCACCCTCTGCCTGTGCCTCCCACACAGCTCCCTGCTGCCTCTTTCCTTTTTTTTTTTCACAGTTTAAAGCTGAAGAAAACAAAAATTAAAAGAAAAAAATACTATCTGTTCTTCTTGCAAGTAAATCCACTTATTATATTTACATTTATTTATAGCTGTTGATTTATTAAAAAATTGCCACTTTATTTTTTTATGAAACCTCTTTTGTCCTTTTTTTTTTTTTTTTTTTTTTTTTTTTTGTCTCTGCGTGTGTGTCTTTATTTACTGTGTCTGTTTGTTTTTTGCACTGTCACCGTTAACCCCAGGGTCCCCAGGGCTGGGGAAGTGGGGACCCCCCTGGGGACACTGTGGAGGGGTGACTCAGCATCAGCTCCTGCACTCCCTAGGGTCACTTGAAACCCCTATGGATCTGTGGAGGATGAGCGGATCCCCACGGATCCCAGGGGATGGAGTGGATCCCCATGAGTCTCGGGGGAACAGAGTGGGTCATGGCTAACTCCAGCACCCAGGATCCTCCATAACTGGCCCAAGGACACCGAAGTCACTGGCAGCCAAACCCCCATCCCCTGTCCCCCAAGAAGCCTGTGCTGGGTTAGAGGTAAGTGGGAAAGAAATTGTAAAATAAAAGAATAAAACCTCCCAAAATTAAAAAAGCTGCCTCCTCCTCCTCTTCCTCCCATTTGATTTATTGTCATTTGTTATTTCTTTGTTCCCTTTTATTTTTTTAATCTGTTTTTATTAAATGTTAAAATAATGGTACATGGGAAATCATGCATTTTCTTTTAAATTTATTTCTATTTTTTAAATCTCTTTCTCTCAGTTTTAAGGATTTTCTTTTTTTTCTTTTTTCTTTTGCTTTTTTTTTTTAAAGAATTTTTTTCACTGTTGTCTCTTTCCTCATGTTTCCTTTTCGTTTGTTTGTTTTTTTGTTCACTCGCTTGTTTGTCTGCTTATCTGCTTGTTCCTTCGTTGTTGTTGTTTTTTTTTTTTTTTTTTCAGTTTTCCCCCTGCTGCCCCCTGCCCCCTTCCACCCTCCCCACCCTTCAGCCCACCCCCGTCTCCTCCTGCCCGTTCCTGCCCCATTTTCAGCTCCTGGCGACGGCTTCATACCGGGGTGGTCCGGCGGTTGGCTGTGTTGGTGTGGATAGAGTCCTTGTTCTCTTTCTGGATACAGTTGTGAACCTGGAGGAAACTGTTATCCCTGTCAGAGTTGTAGGTGGCGGTGGGGGTGGTGGTTGCCTTCAGCGGGTCCCTGGTCAGGGTGTACATCGAGATCTCTGTTGATGGCAGGGTGTTGAACCCTTTGATCCCGACGGGAGAGGCATCCCTGGAGTGTGAAGGCTCGGTGGAGCGGGAGCTGGAGCGACTGCGTCTCTGATAGCGGTACCGGTAGCTGGGGATGCGGGTGATGGCGGAGGACTGGAGGTAGTCCGTGGCACGAGCGTTGGCACGCAGCTGTTTGTGCCGGTCTATGAACATGTGGACAGCCAGCACTCCCACCATCTCGGCTATAATGAAGGACAGGGCCCCGAAATAGAAGGACCAGCCGTAGGAGTAGCTGTTCTTCTTGGAGTCACTCTTGGAGGGGTCTCCAGCGTTGGCTGATATGTATACGATGATGCCAATTATATTACTCAGACCTGCAAGCCATCCGGCAGGGGAGAGAGAAGGAGATGTCAGGAAGGTCACAGATGGCAGTGGTGGGGGCTGTGGGGTTGCCTTGGGAAACTCAGGCAAAACCCTCCTTATGTGCCTGCCACTTCCCTGGACTGCATTCTTGGTCCCTGAGAGATGTCAGATGTTAGGGAAACTCTCCCACTGTCAGCTCCCAAGCAGGAGGAAAGCCCCTGCCTGCCTGCCTCTGCTGGGCGAGCAGGCAGGATGGAGAGGCATCCTTGTGATGCTGCTTTCAGCCCGAATAAGACTTATCAGGGCTGGGAAATGCACACACTCTTGCCTAGACAACCGTACCCCAATGTCCTGGCTAGGCAGCCCCCCAAACCCTGGAGCACGCGGGGCATCAGGCCCTGTGCACCCCTTTACCTGCAGACACGAAGAAGATGCCGGCACTAAGGATGATGTTGTGTCGGGTTTTGTAGAACTCGCTGGCTGCAATGCAGAGTCCACCCATGAAAAGCAGAATCACACTCAGGATCGGGAAAATACTAGAGGCTCTAACAGCCCCTGCAGAGGAGAGAAGGAGGGCGGGACAGAAAGAACAACAGAGGTGTGAGAGAAAGGAAAAAGGGGCATGGAAACGGCACCAGAGTGAGGGGACGGAGGCACGCGAGTACGTTTAGTGGGTGGGGGTGAAGGGGAGAGACAGAGGGCAGTGTGCAATAGGGGAGTAATTTAGGGAGAGATAAAGGCATTGGGGGATGGAGGGAAGGAGGGAGGGAGGGAGGGAGGGAGGGAGAGAGGGAGAGAGAAACAAAGTGTGTCAGAAAAAGAGAGTGGTCCAAAGCAACTCTCCCATGCCCTGGCCACTGCTGTTGCCGCAAAGCTGGTGGTTCAGTACGGGGAGGCAGAGGGGGATGTGGGGCTGGTGGCTGGGCTGGGAGTCTGCCTGCATTGTCTGTGCCCCCTCACACTGTTTTTTCCTCTGTTTTTGGAGGGACTGTGGGCTGGAGGGGGAGCCCAGGCACCATTCAGCTTCTCCTTCTGCAGAGCTCTGCCGCTCAAGCCTGCACTTCAAAGAACAGCAACCCAAATGCTTCCTGCAGAGCTGCTCAATCTTGAATCCTCCCAAAAGGGCATGAGCATCTCAAGGAGATTTTTTTTTTTTTTTTTAGGGCTGAGAAGGAGCTCGTGGTGCCATGCACTGCTCTGCAGCTGCAGTGAGGACTGAGAAGAAACAGTCCCAGCCCTGTGTGCTGAAATGTGGGGCTTAACCTAGTGATTAAATGACTGGGCTGCTTCCAGAGGGCAGTGATGGTTCGGATGTGCCAGCTCCCACACACGCACACTCTCCATCGGTCGATATGGGGAGAGCTCAGCCAGCAGAGGGCAATGGCATAGATGCACAGATGCACGTATATGCTCGTATGTGCATGCAAAACATACCCCAAAGCTTCTGGGGGCCTGACTCGCGTTCCCGCAGCGAAAGGCCAAGTCTGTGTGTACGCACACCCACACACACAGGCACGCACGCACACACCGCTCGTGGGCGGCTCGGTGGGAGCCAGCGCTCTGCCTGAGTCTGCGTTGCGAATATTCCTATTTTTTTTTTTAACTAGGAAGGCCTCTCTCCTCCCTTCACAAGAGAAAATAAGCTGTTAAAGTGTGAAATGAAGCCTTGCTTGATAAAGAAAGGTATCAGACGGGCTGGTGCAATTCTGCTTGTGGAGCAAAGATCTGGAAGGGGGGATGAAAGCTAATCCTTCCTTGCCTGCAAGAATGAACCCAATGAAGCAAATGCAGGGCTTTTTCCGAAGTGAGCAGAGTCCCCGCTTCAAAGACACTGTTGGCCTCTGGATCCTGCTAGGCACAAGCAATGAGCTCTTTGAAGGGGGCCTAGCCCACTGCTTGTGCATGGGGAATGCAGAAGGCAGGGAGGAACCACTCTTTCTTGCTTTCCAGCTCTGCCTGGCTGTGTTTCAGGGAACAGGATAACACTAATAAGCATCTTAATAGCTTCTGGAAAACAAAGTGGCATTTGACGATGGGAAGCTTAAATGGCAGGAAGCAAACGTCAAGCAGACACCCACTGTTGAGAGGCTTTCTAGGGGGATGCTTGGTCAGTCCTGCAACCTGGTCCTGACTACATCAGTTTTATCTGTGTCTTAATTCTGAAATTCATGTCTGTGGGGAAAACAAATTTGCTGACTGACATGGGAAGCTGCAGGTGTCATGTGATGGAGAAGGACAGCAGCCTTCCTCAGCCTTTCAGGAGGACCATGCCAGCATGAGAGGAGGAAAATATCATCCAGCCTTCCTGGCTCCAGAGCCTATGGCCTAAAGAAAAAGGGCTGGTGGCATATGATCCTTAAACTCACCTGTGTCTGCTAGCAAGGAAACACAGGAATGCTTCTGCTTCCTCTCTGATAACAGGCATTTGATTTCAAAAATCCTAAGACACCTTATGTGGATGGCTAGCAGAAATAATGGCTAAACCCTTCTAGCCAGGTCATGTACACTGCCCCATCACTGTCCTTGTCCCCTGAGGCATGAGGGAATTGCCTACTCTGATACAGATAAACAACTTCCTAGCTGTTCCTGATGGCATTGCCCATGCAGAGCACCCAGGGACTCCGGTTTGACAGAAGTCCTGGCAAGAAACTGTTCAGTGGGGTCCTTCTCCAGGCAGGTCTAAGCCAGCAGAAATCCCAGTTCCCTCAGGAATGACCCAAATAATCCTTTATTGACTTGCCAAATCCCTCTTTGAACCTGATTCTTTCTTAAAAAGGGCTCCACCCTGGGGACACTGTCAGGTCCTGACATTGGGCCAATTTTTGTCTTCAGATCTTGTTCTCTCTGAGGGAACAAACCCATCCTTCTTGTGATGTTTGGCCCCTTCCCCAGACTCTTTTTTCTGAAGTGCAATTGATGCTGCAAGCAGCCTCTTTGCTCCCAAGCAGCTCTGCAAAGGCTGATTTGCCCTCGGAGGCAGCCTGCAAACCTTTGGCATCCCGGTGCCAAACTGGATCAAACCTCTGTGTTCGGCTCTGCTGTTCAGGGGCCATGCAGCAATTAAGAGACCGGTGCTGCAGAAAGGCAGCTGAAAGAAGCAATCTCCCTCGGTTATTTACAATTTACAGTGGATGAAGGACTGTTTGAGAAACCAAGAGGAAGCAGCATAAGATCTGCCTCTTTTCACATACAAATGAGCCTCACAGATCCGAAATTATCTCTCTCATCCCTGCCGCAGGGCTGGGTTTCCACATCTGGCTTGGAGCACACCCGGATGACAAGGAGCTATTCTGAAAGACTCCCGGTCTTTGGAAGCCTCTGATGATTAACCTTGGAAGGTCAAAAGCACTTATCTCTAATTTCTGTTGGGAGAAGATCTCATGATGTCAAAAGATGTTGGGCTTGTGGAGGGAGGGCAGGATAGCAAGGTGGAGACCTAAGAGGAGTGTTCCCTGTTCAGCTGTGCTAAATGAAGAGTAAGCACCTGCCTCTGGGGTGGAAATGCTGGCTGGGGAGGGCAACCAGGCAGGGTAATGCATGATGTAGATCTGTCCTGCTGGCCAGGGTGCTTCTGTGCAAAGCAGTGTGAGCTTCACTCACGCATCTCAGGCTGGACTTGAAGCTCAGGCTAGGTTTCATTACAGACATGCCTTGTGCCTAGGGTTCAGCACCTCTCCTAGGGGCTCTGGCTGAGCACCAGTCTTTCCTTCAAAGGGCTCTGGCTGTCCTTATTCCTGCTGCCTGCTCCCATCACTAAAGCCAGCAAAGATCAGACCTGTAGGGTCCTCTGTAGGGAAGCGGTGTTTGGGGAAAGGTGAAGACAGCAATAAGAGCTCCTCAGACAAAATACAGCTAATTTCTTAAGTCTGGTGCCACTGGAGTATCAGATAAGGAAATATAAACTTTCTCTGCTTTAGGAGGACATGCACTCTCACACACACATGCTGCCCCAGCTAGGCCAGACTGACCTTAGGCCCAATCAGCAGCTTTTCAGTGGATTTGAATTAAGACTCTGATTTTATATCACAATTAATCGCTGCTAATAAAAAGAATGCCATTAGTTGTTACTGTGAGCTCAAATTTGCACTGTCTCATGGGTAGAGCCCCTGGGAGGTGAGACTGGAGTAATTTTTAGGGGGTGATGGGGCTCTGGGGTTTCCACTGAGCCTCACAGGTCCCACTGTCTCACCACCCTGTATTCAGAAAACAAAAGGTGCCCGACGCTAGCACCTATGAGCCATTGCACAAAGAGCCTGCGGACTTACGGAGGAAATATTCTGCTGTATCGGCTTCATAATCTGCATCCTCAGGGAAGTGATCGATTTGCTTACACAGACCTTTAAAATTCCCTAGGGAACAAGAGAAAAAAAGAACAAATGAGAACACCAAAACCTGCCTTGCAGGAACAGCTGCCCTCTGCATCACCTTTTGTGCCCGCCTGCCTTCCTGCCAGGCAGCATTCCCACTCGTGTGTGCATGCCCGGGAATGCCCGGGCCTCTCCTTGCACACTCGCACATGTATTTGCACAGGAATGTGGGTTTGCTGTCAGGACCCAGCCTGACGCCCAGCCAGCCCAGCACGCCTCCCTCCGCAGAGGAGAGCCCCAGAAGCTCCATGACTCCTGCCGCAGACAAGGGCAGAGCGCTGCCCGCCTCGGAGGGAGGCGGGATGGGAACGGGAGCCAGGCCAAGCACAGGTGTCAGCGTCCCCTCCCTCAGCATCGACAGGCGTAGCTGTGAGTTACATCATCAGACCTCAGTGTTTCCCCTGGCGTGGCCTGCCTGGATCCCAGCAGTGAGGGGATCAGGGCAGGATGATTAGGTGTGGGTTGCAAAAGTGTTTCTCTCAGCTGTGAATTTGCTGCCCTCTAACTCCGTGGGCAGGATACATCCTTTTGTTCTGGTTCGGTGTTAGAACAAAAGCCCTTAATGTACTTTCTCCGTATGACTGCTTGTTTCTGCGTACCTTTGTCAGGCCTGCTCTTGTGTCCTCTCACAGACTGAGGCTACAAGAAGCTCGGTGCAAGTGTGTGTATGCAGCTCGACAGCAAAACACCCTGGTGCTGGGGGAGCAAAATCTTCCACCATAAGTGAGGGAAGCTGGGCTGGACACATTTCCATCAGGCTGGTGTATGTACAGGGCCTTCTGCCAGTTTCAGTCATGGGGCACCCTTTTTCACACACTCCATGACCACCAAGACCATCCCAGCAGGGGGCCAGTGACACCTTCCAAGTCTTTTGTTAGCTGGGATATCTACCAGGCTCTTATTTTCATCACTCATATCTCCTCTTGACATCAGGAATACCACTCCAGAGAGGTACTCCTCAAGCTACATCATAATTTTCACCATGACCACTGATTAATTTGTATCTCAAATGATCAGGTTGTCCATTCTTGTACAGGGTTGACCATGTGACAGACAATTTCATTATGTCTCCTGGGGTTCCCACAAATTTTTTCTCCTACCCTCCATTCCATTTCCCTCTGGACACTTGCACTGACTAGCCATTAGCACAGAACTGATGGACACAGTCTATCCAGAAAGGAGAAATACATTGTCTGCATGAGGTGCGTGGGTAGGCATGGTCATCCCCTGGGCCTCCTCACCAGATGTCAGCAAACAAAGTGGCTCAGGCTCACTGATTCCTCAGCAGAAGCATTTGTAGCCCAAGTCTGAAAAGTGACAAATGCTGTGGCAACCTGGGTAAGCCTCCTGCCACCCTGACCCTGAACCCAGCTTCTGGACCAGCTGGGCATGAAGGGCAAGGGGAAAATGAAGCCACCACCCTTGCGGTTGTTGCCTCTGGGAAGAGCAAGAGAGCTCTTCCAGACCAAACCTACCCAGGCTGAGACCTGCAGTCACCATGTCGGGTCCCCAGGTCATGTTTAGAAGGTCCATTCCAGATGAACTTGAATGATCTTTCAGATATTTGTGAACACATGGAAGAAGGCCCAAGCTCAAAGGATTCTCCGTGAGTTGCTTCTTGAGGCCAGCCCTTGACGGATTTACCTTTGGGATGCTTTGGGAGGCAGTCCTGAGTAAATATCTGAGTAAATGGAAGGCAGGTAGGTGGGTTCCTTTAGGTCTACCCCCAAGTTTGGCTTCTTCTGCATCCATCTGGCTTGTGTCTGATGCCTCCAAGGTACCTATTGCATTTAGCTACTCATTCAAAGAGCTTGCATGAAGAGACTGGAGACAGCAGAGAGGAGTGTGTGTGCACATTAAGAGGTAAGTAATAGGATAATAAAGTAGGAACAAAGCCTCTCTGTGTAGCTCTGACATACTATTCCCACACTGAAACTGTGGTTTATGAAAGGTTATTAATCACCCCTCCTCAATCCAGTTACCTTGTTCAAAAAGTGTCTGCTTCTCAGCCATGGCTCTTCTGGAAGGAAAGCTTCATAGCCAAGTAAATTGCCTTGGCACACTTCCACCCTGCTACTTGCCCACTAAAATCCCTATGAGGCAGGCAGATACAGCATGAAGGGGGTCCTTTCCCTTGCTTGCCCCTCACTGCCTGGGGCCATCTGCCTGTGACAGATGAGCAGCTCCTCATCCTGATCCTTTGGCTGCTGTCGCTGCTGTACAGTGCATGTGAACACTGGCACACTCCGGGGCACTGGGGAGGTCTCCAGCTTCAGATTTCAGTTCCTTGCCCAGCAGATCCTGAACACTGAGTTCCTCCTGCCCGTACATGCTGGGGGAGCAGGTAGAACCTGCATACACCTCCCAGGTGATGTTCCTGGCACACAGCCGGAGCCTCCCAGTTGGAATCAGCCAGGGAGGGAAGACGCAGTGCATCTGGAAACCCCCTCACTGTGTGACATCCTTTCCCTGCTTCCTTTTTTCTCCCTCTCCCCCGCTCTGTTTCTTGCTGAATTTGAGGCTGATTAATTCCTATGTAAAGAATTGAGCTGCCTGGGAAGATGCTGCATCTGGTGCAGGCTGTCTTTTATATGGACTTGCGTGGGATAGCTGGTTAGAGGTTCAGCCGCTTAGGCAGGCTGAGGGGCTATGCAGGCTCTTTGAAAATCTGCTCCTGGTGCTCAGTGTCCCAAAGGCTTTGCTGACCTGGCTCCGCAGGGTACTTGGCCATTGGAGTGTCCAGCCTTGGCTTGCTTAAAATGCTGTGACATTGTGGAGCTGCCCTTCTCCACAGGCTCATATGCTGTGCCAGGTTGATTCCCCTCCCTGGATCAACCCTGCCAGGGTTCATGAGGGCAGTGTTGGTCCCACTTTAGCCCCTGCTTTGTCTGTGCTCAGCAGAGTGCTGTGGGTTTGGATGCTGACTGTTTGCCTGTGCTACCACACCCTCTCCTCCAATGCCTCTTAGCTCCTCTGGGCGATGGATGGGGAAAGGATGCAGAATTTAGGTCATTAATGCGCTAACTGGGAACATAAGAGAACAAGATTCAGTTTTTGCTCTGCCACAGGCGTGCTGTTCAAACCGCTTCTCTCTGCCTCAGAGTCCCACCCTGTAAAATGGGGGTGACAGCACTCCTCTGCCTGGTGCCGTACGGGGACGTGTTAAACAGGGCATGGTGTGGGTGTGCTGGTGCCAGCGGCTCCCAAAGTGCACAGAGTGAGTGAGTGATGGATGGCAGCGGTTCAGAACCTGCCTGGTGTGGGGAAGGCCTTGATGTCACTTCTTGTGCCAAGGTCACTCGGCAATTCTCTGACGGACATCTGTGGCCTGCTGAGATGGTACAGCAGCTTCCCTGGCACCTGTGCCGGTGGAAGCACAGAGGGGGGATGGAGCAGCTCAGCAGTGCTGCTGAGGTCTGACACAACAGCCTTTTCTTGTGCTGCACGTGTGGTCTGTGGAGCCAGAGATGGTGAGAGCTGTGTGCCACCCTACAGTTAATAGTCCTGAATGCCTGAGCAAGATCAAATCATTATGTGGGAGGGCATGTAGGGTCTGAGAACCCCCCAAGGAGGTAACAACAACATCTCCTCTCTACTTGAGTCCCTTTGTCCTTCACATTCTTCCCAACTCAAGGTATTTCATGCTGTGACCCCTGAAACAGGGCATGCATCTCTCTCTTCTCCTATATGCCTCTCTGAGACACTTAAACCACATGCTTCCACCTCCTCCCTGTAGCTCTCCCACTGCAGTTTGGGCACTCCCCTCATCCTTGCTCATGTTGACCCATCAGTTCTCCTATTTCTCAGTCCCTCTTATTCATGACAGCCACCTCCCTCTCTCTGATGTATTAGTGTGGGCATCCACTGAACAGCCTGCTTTGGGGTGTGCAGGCTGCAAAGAAGGCAGGGATGAGCATCAGCCTGTCTCAGGAAAGGAAGGCTGCAGATGCCCAGGTCCATGGAAAAGCACAGAGCAGTCTTCACATCCCTTGTGTGTTACTGGGAGTCATTAGGCAAGATCACCACTGTTTGCTTGTTGCCTGCCCCAGATTTGTAAAATGTAGTTTAGAAGAGCCAGGATTGGTGCAGTAGGCACCCCTCCAGTGCCTGGCCAAGGACAGAAGTTGCCCAGTGGGGTCATTAAGAGGAATCTCTCATACTGCCAAGAGGGACTAAATGTCTAAGATGAAATTCAACGTCAACTGTGTGTTCATCTCTGAGAGAGACCTCCTCCAGTGTGGCAGGACCATTGTTTGGGTATAAGCTGTCTATCCAGGACAGCTGGCAGCCGCCAGCCCTGCTGCAGCAATACTCAGACTGAGCTACCCCCAATGAGAACCTGGCTCCGTATTGTTGGTGATACAGTTTATTTTCGTGCCGCTTTGTGCAGCCCTCTCTCTTTCAGAAGTCTTGCTTGCCTGCAGAGTGCAATCCACTGCAAAATAGTAAGTTCCAAAGAATGAAAAGCTACTCCCTTCCTGCGAGGTAGGAACACTTTTAAATGGTCAGGACCATACATCTGAAAACTGCGAGCCAGAGGCAGAGGAAAAGACATCCAAAAGGAGAGAAGCAGACAAAGAGGGATGAGAACAGAAAGACCTGTTTTCCCAGAATGATTTGTGATATTTCCATTTATGGAGAAAAGCAATCCACTGAAAGCTTTCCTTCAGTCCCACTCTCTAATTTAGCAGAGGTTTTGGCATGATGGCTTAGAGAAATAAATAAAGGGGGCTGGATATAGCTGTTGCCTCTAAAAGCTGAGAAAGATGGTTTGGTGTTGGCCAAGGATTCAGTATCACTTTCTGTCACACGCTCCCCATATCATTTTAGGCAAGCCACTTACTCTACGCCCCACCCCCCCCCCCCCCCCCCCCCCCTCTTTATCCCATACTTCGGAAAAGAATCCCCCATCTCCTTTTTCTTTAACTCAGAATGGGATAATGTATTTCCCTGCCTCAGGAGAGTAGGCTGAGGATATTTGT